ACTGGGACATTCGTGGAATGAAAAGGTTTCGAGGAAATATCAAAAATCTGTTTGATTTGCGTTTGTTGATACCCGGGCACTTAGAGTCCTTGGGAGCATTAGAATATTTTGGCAGGAAAAGCAGAAATTAGTAATTTTGTAAACGTAATCCATGACTAAAAAAAAAAAAAAATAATAATAATCTACTGCTTATTGATATTTTATGACTGCCATCCAAAATATTTCCAGGAACATTGTGATGTTTGTTGTTGTTCCGTTGAAATCCTCATTTAACTGCATGCGTCGAGGCGTTTATGTCCAAGAAAGTTGGAGATGCTATGAAAAATGGTCGTCGTCAAAAGTTAAAAAATTGTAAAAATAATACGTAAAAAAAAGAGGAACTATACGAAAATTCCAAGTGTTCCACAGCTGTCCGATAGATGGCAACAGTGTGTCCTCTCGTCGTAAAATATCCCAAGTTTCAATAGACTCGCGTAAGCAGTCGCAATTAGTATTTCGCTGCCTTCATACCTTTTGAGAGAAGAGGACGCTGACAATAAAAGATCGTCTTCCTCGCTGAAAACTAGAATAATATATAGATTCTAGTCTGAAAAATTCCGTAGTACTTGCAGAAGTACAGGGAGATCTCAGGGTGTACTGTCTTAAAACACTTAAAACACAGAATGTTATTAGAGTTCTCCATGCTTCCCGAAAAGACACGGATGGATGTCAGTATGAAAGGTTCTGCTCAAGAATGCCAACTAATGCGCACAAAATTGGTTCTTAGGCCACAGCCACAGCCGCAGTCACGGCCCCGTAGAAAGTCTTCAAGAAAACACACCCACCTCAAAATGAGCTACTTCAAAGGTATACGGAGGAATTAATCGTCTTTGATTATAAAATCAACGAATAGAGTTGTCCTCTAAACGACTTTTTTTTTTTTCTTTATTTGTTTTTCAGCTATCCCAGCCACACAGGGTGAAAAGAAAGCACTACTTCACGAGGTGAGTGAGCCTTCCAGAAAGAGTGACCGACAAATCCTTCATCGGATATGCGCGTACTATGGAATAGCTGCCACTTACCGATTTCTCGAGTTAGACATCACTATGATGACTAGTTCCATGTCCGGTCCTCTGCCATCGGATCCAAAGAAGGCAAAGCGAGAACAGTGGCGTCACTAGGGTCAGCGGCACCCGGGGCGGTGGTCCGCGGCGAAACCTCCCCCCCCCCCCCCCCCCCCCCTCCCCCCTCGCTCGTGGCCTCGGAACCCCTCGGAACGCTGCACCCGGGGCGGTCACTCCACCTACTTTTTGTACATGTATTTTTTACGTAAACCGTTTAGCGATTGATTGTTTTTCAGCATATTCTGGATCGTCATCGCCCTCTGCCAAGCACACGAGGCCCGGACCCCGTCAATCTAACAATGATTGGCTTTCTCTCCGTGGCCTCCGGCATCCGTATTTTCAGATGCAATAAATTTATTTGATACCAACTCTAACATGTAATCGGATTTTGGTGTTTTTGTATTTCAATGTCTCTATTTCTCGAATTAGACATTAATATAAGGACTAGCTCTATGTGTTGTCTTGTGTCATCCCAACTGTGATGTTTTTATTTTAGTGCTCGTAAAGAGGTAATATGAATTAATAAATATTTGCCTCAATCCCTAAGGACGCAGTGGCCTTGCTCGTATATCATTCAAAAGATGTTCGCTGTAGACACGATAACAGGATCATCTGTGGACACATCACAAGATATGCTCGAAGCGCGTTGGTTTAACACAAAATGTGTATGTTTTGAACACGTCTGCAGGCGGTTTTTGTACGACTGATGGGGCAGGACCGTCGTACAAGGAAGAAATATGCCACAAAGTGTTCGAAAACTGTCTTTTGCACGATGTTTCAACACCGTACGTCCGCGGTTTATGGTGATACATTCGGAGGTTTTGCTGGCGTCGATGCGACCGACGATAACATATTCACAAAGGCCGTTAGAACATATAAGGAGTATTCACTGGGCGCCATATTTGTGGGTGCTGTTTAGAGCGCATGCTCAGAACGAGCTCACATCAATAGGCTGCTAAGACCGTCAATCTTGAGGGTGCGGAATGTACGTTACAAAAGAACTGTGGAAGCTATCGCCATCAGCACGCGCTCAGCTGTCGCGCACACAGCTACGGCCGCCAGTGAATACTTCCTCTAGCGGATCGTGCTATACTAGAAACAAAATATTACGAACGCATTTGTTTTCGTAAATAACTAAAAACAAAATGTTTATGTATATTAATGAATATTTTAATCCAGCTTTCACCATTTTGCCCTTTCATTTTTAATTCAATATTTCGTATTTTTCAATTTTATTCGAAATCATTCGACATAACGAGCTTTTCATGTTACCATTTAGCATGAACGTACCTAACCTGTCGCGTACCCCGCCCTTCAGCCTTGTTCACACGCACCACCGTTTTCTTACGTTACGTTATGTTACCAGAGCTTACGTCTGCTAATGTCGAGAGCCACCGGAAGATCAGTGTTTCGTGGGAAGCGTGGCAAATGTTGAAGGATAGCCTTGCACGCGACATTCGAGCCACGAATGTTCCGGTGACTTATATCGTAATGTAAGAAAACGCAAACAAGCGCCCGTTTGAATGGGTCTTTTTTAGTCCTAAGCTTCACGTCATCTTCGCGAAGTGTTTTTCTTTTTTATGCTCTTAATTTCTTCTTTTCGTTTTCTTAGGTGAAGCAACCTCCGAGCTACCTCGAGGCGACCCGTGTTCCCCAAATCATCATAACGGACTATTCCACAATCCCGAAGTCCACCACAGCGTATACGAGCGCATGAGCTGGCACACGGCTTGAATCTCAAGCAGGCACCAGCAACGATGAATGCTCCAGTGCTTCATACCATTGTAAACTGTAGATAAACAAAAATGTGTGTTTGTTCTGTGCCGTACTTTATCATCTTGACAGTTGAGTCTGACTTGAATTCACTAAGCTCAGTGTTACGGAAGCTCGTCTGCTTACGCACACGCCACCAAGACATCTGTGCTGCCACCAGTTCAAGTAGATAGCAGCTGGCACACGACATTCGAGACAGAAATGTTTCGGTGACTTATACGTAACGTAAGAGAATGCTCACATTTTAAACGTTTCTTTTATAAACTATGAAACAAACGAAAGAAAGAATGGGGAGGTAGTAGGGAGTTTTTCGTAGACCGCGTTTCCCCCTCCGCTAAGCCCTCCGCAACGAAGAAGCCGCTACTGCGCTTGCGCGCCGATGGCCTTGACTGTAGAGCTGCGGGTAGCGTATCGTAGCGGGTTGCGGAGAACGTTGAGAGACGGCGAAAACGATCTACGAGTCCGACAGACTCCGCCGGCGCCTTTGCACGTGTATCGTAACGTGCCGGGTTTAGTTATCGGAGGTATGGGAACGATTTACTTTTTAAAACTGGGGGAAGGGGGGGCGGGAACTAATTAGCTACGCCTATTTATTGATGGCTAGTTGGGCTAGTTGGTTTTGCATCATGGCCCAGGATCCAGTGGCTTTAAGTTTATCAAGAGTGCTTTATCTTCCTTCACTTCTTCACTTGCTACGTACCCCTCGTCGCTTTATCTGTGCCGACCTGCAGGGGTGTGGCGATCTCTGTAGCAGCCCTTAAAGCCACTGGATCCTGGGAAAGTAGCGCCATTGCCTTCCCTACCTGCTAGCCGGACACAAACGGATACTAATATACAGACGACCCAAACCTCGCAAGGCGATTGGCTAATCGGCCTACGTTGCCATAGAAATCGCCATCTTGGTCCATTTAAATCTTTAAACCAGCTCGGAGCGCGTGGAGCGAAAGCTCGCGCTGCAGAACCCAGGGATCCTGGGTTCGAGCCCCACCCCTGCCCGTTTCGATCTGGATGAGCATCGTACCGGCGTGCGATCGTGTATCACTACTGCGTGATGCACGTTAAAGACCCCAGGCTAGCGGCTGTACCGCACTGGCTAAATTTCTCATCTACAGCTGGGAGACTCGTCGCCCCTGTGAGGCAGACCAAGTTCTAGGCTGTATAAACACACACACAACCCAATTTTTTTTTAAATCTTTAAAGCTTCCAGGGGGTCGGAGAAAGCCTGGCGCGTCGCGAGAAAAGGCGGCCGCCGTAAATGGGAAAGGAGGGGCGGAGAAACGGGAGCGGAGAGAACCTTGCCCGCTAGCACCACAAAAGAGCGAACGGCCAAACGCAGAAACAATCTTTTTTTTTTTTTTCTCTCTTTTCTTGTCGCTACCGTGGAGAGGAGAAACTCAACGTCCACCCTTTCCCCTTTTCTCCCTGCGCCCTTTCGAATCGCCGCGCCCGTTTCACCCGGAGTACGAAAACGACGGTGACGAAAACACAAAAACAAGCGTGGTTCGGGGAGCGGCCGCTCATGACCCAAGCGCTTGCTGTCTAGGTCTGCCCTTTCTGCTCTGCGCTACCATATTGGTCACCGTTCGGCGCGTTCCTCCTCTCCTTTTTCCTGCGGCCGCGCGCCCTCGTCGATGTGCCAGGCTTTCTCCGTATAAAGGAGGCTATGACCAGTCGCGCCAAGATCACCATGGAGCATCATCGTACTGGAAGTGTTCCTCTTCAATATAAGAGTCTTTGGCACTTCGTATGCAATCAACTTATTAATCAGGCCCATCTCCATGGATCTCTTACAATTATATTGTTCTTGCGCATTTCAAGACACTAAACTTATTTTTCAGTGCCTCCAAGCACCGACACAGCATCTGGTGGTGGTACGAACGTGTACGCCTGTTTCGCCGGTGTGTGGTTAGCAAAATCTCGGTATACAAAAAACGACTCAATAAAGCTACCCGTCACCAGCGAATCTAGATCGGCTCACCAAGAACGGAGGGGTCAAGGAGAAATTGCTCATTTCATGGACCAAGATGGCGACCACACGCGGAGCTTGGCGTTACTTTCCCAGGATCCAGTGACTTTAGATAAACAGAAAGGGATGTGCCGAAAGCGCGTCTCCGGCGAGCACGTGGCGCGTATGAAAACAGTGCAGCACCAGGAATGAATCAGCGAGCTCGCGACACTGTTTCGGCGGTCGAATCAAACTGAAAGACACTTGGAGCAATGTATGGGAAAACAACGAGAGGTCATGTTTCCAAATGCAAAGGTTCATTTGTCCTCAACTTTTTGTAGAAAAAAAAAAAGTTGGGATTATTTTAGTTGGTTTGTACGAGAAAGTTGCAGCGTGCTTCCCTGCGACGTGGCAGGTCACTACTACGGAAAACAAGAACAAAGTGAAATGGGTGAAGTTATGGTGACGAGCACTGATCTCAATGGTGACGAGGGTACCAGTCAAGGAGGATAGAAGGGGTTGCCAGGTTGGGCTATTGATAGCCAAGTTGGGCTACTTTGTCATGCATTTGGCGTCAGAATTTGGCGGTTGACTATGCGGCTATTTTTGGGCTATTTTAAATCCTAACGCGGCACTTTTTTTTTTCTTTTTTTTTTGCTTGGTTTAGAGTAGTTGTACAAAAGACACTTCAGCATGGACACAAAGAGACAGTCCACCCTTTCTGGATTCTTGCTTTCAAGGATTTTCTGCGTGAAGATTCGTGGGCGTGATGCCAGCAGAAACAGCTCACTGGCCGCCGCCATTTTGCGACTCGAGCGACCCCTATCAGCCAAAAATTTCTGCCACCCGCCTGAGCTGTGGAAACCCGGTCAACTCCCCACCTGCATTGTGTGTTCGGAGTTCGCCGGCTTTCCTTGAAAGTGTTTACTCTATTTGCCTGTTCAGGATGCTTGCGTGCTTTTGTAATCTTCCACTGTGGAGTACCAGGGAATACCAAGGCTCGTAGCCTGCTGGACCTTCGCTGGAAACGAACGAAGAGAGCGAGCGAAGAGAGCGAACGTCGAGCAGCCCGCGACGCGGGACGTTCGACGTTTTTCGAGGATTATTTCCGTTGAGAAAATCTCCGAAAAGCCTTCCCGGCTATGTTCCCGGTCTTGGCGAGAAGTAGCTGATAGGGTCCGGTGGGGTCCATATCACAAGAGCGAATGACATTTTAGCGAACGGCGACATTTGAGCGAATGGTCGTTTTAGCGAATAACGGGGGCGCGCGTTAACCCATCCGTCGCGCTGCGCTTTACGCCGCTTCGCGGCGACAGTCTTCGGCAACTCATTACAAAAATGTGAACCCATTTGGCCCACCCGAAAACGCCGCTTCGCGGCGTCCGACTATTCGCTAAAGTGTCGTTCGATGAAACGTGGGCGTTCGCTAAAACGTCATTCGATCAAGTGAGTGCCTCCCGGTCCGGTGTATGGGAACTGAATAGACACGTTCGTTCATTTGCTTTAGTGCTGTGTAAAAAAGCATCAGTCTTCGAAACGTACCCCAAGGCAAGCCGGATTCCGTCCGATCGTCGTGAAGTGACTATCGTCGACACTGTATTTTGGATATGCTGTGTTATTTGAGACCTTTCTCAAATCCTGTTTGGATAACGAAACACAGTGGGGTACGTACAATATATGTTGTTCGATTGATGAGACTCGTTGAATTTCATATAGGAAGCGAGCAAGCCGGCCGTGTCGCGGCGGTCGCCTATTGTTTGCCGCGACCTAGCGGTAGCCGCCGCAGGAGAATCGGGGAGCAATGGCGACGAACAGCACGGCGGCCAGTGTCCCCGTCGTGATTACAAAGGCATTTAAGGCAGTTACGAACTCGGAAAGTTTCTTCGGTAGCGAGTGCCGTCGGCGCAGAATCATTGGGAAGTAATAACAACGATCACCACAGAGGAGAGTGGGCGATTACGAATCCGGAAAGCTTCTTCGGTAGCCAGTGCAGAATCATCGGGGGGAAGCAATGGCGATGAGCAGCACAGCGGACAGTGTTCCCGGTGTGATTACGACGGGGTTTAAGGCGGTTACGAATCCAGAAAGCTTCTTCCGTGGTACCAATATGACGAAGGGAAAACTCCGTGAATCTGGCCGCGTGTACGACGTGAAGGAGGTCCGTTTCGACGGACAAGTGGATGTCACGGAGCGCCGTACACCGCTAACAAAATTAAGCGCGCCCGCAAAAAAATGTAGTGGGCGTTGAGTGGACTGTGTTAATTATGTAGTACGTTTATTTCTGAATTAGCTTGACAATAACTGGGTGATTTTTTTCGCGCCGTTCCGCGATTCCCACTGTAGGTTGATGGAAACATCCAAGGGTAGGCTTAGGTGGGCGACCGCATTCCGCTTCTCGATTCCGGTGAAGTAGTTGCTGCATATTTTAGAGTTTGCCGTCGGTGTCGATGCTGTTCCATCGTAGCTAGAATAGAAAAAAGAATTAATTATATTATTCGTCAGCAGCTTAAACAAAGCGCGAACTGGAAGGTAAGAAACACCACTAACCTGTATGAACGCACAAGTCGCACCCAGATCGCGCAGTACTCCGCCTCATACGGCTTCGAAGGGACGATGTAGTACTACGTGCCGTGCGCGATCTTCGACGTACTGTTGCAGCCTACCACGCAGCGATTGTTGCGGCTTTCTTGGTGTGGAATAGCCATCTCAGAAATTACAGCGCTAACCCACTTCAACGCACAGCCAACGCAGCGACTGGCAGAAGCTCCCCGATGCAATGGACCCGTTTGCCGCTAGGGGCGCCCTGGTCGGGGCTTGAATTAGATGCGCACGGTTCCTATAGTGATCGAGCGGAAAATACCCATGGCAGTTCGGCTATCCTCTGGTGTGGTCAAATATGTTAGGCAGTTAAGACCTTTGTAGGTTGACGCGGCTGAGTGTATGGTGCCGTTAAAAAGATCAGCATAAAATGAAACAAACATCTCAGTTGCATTTGTTCTGTCGCGCACGGACTCGTCAAAAATAGCTTTCATTTGTTTGTTTTTATTCTCAAAAATAGTTCAACGCTTTCTTAATAATTTCGAGAAATTCTCTTCGCCATAGAACACAAAAGAAAAGATAAAGCTATGCGATTTTGCCGCTACCAGCGTTCGAAATTGCTCCTAAGCAGGCTGCCACAGCCTACTGACGAGAAAATCCACAGCTCAGCGCAGTCGGGCAACACTTGCGTACACTCTCAAAACCAGGGATGCGCGCTGGAAATCGTTTCGTTCGAGACTGCCGCTGGAAAAGCTCAAGTGAGCTACCGTGACCTAGATTCAGCTCCGACGACATCGCTTTTGTAGTATGGACTAATGGTGGCTTATTTTATGCTCCCAAGTTCTTTCTGCTTCTTACTGGCGTCTCTTATTTCCTCGGGTTTCCCACCATCCTCCTACAGGAAGCATATCATCCGAGGAAAAATGATACTAAAGGCAACTTAAGACATCCTGCAGAATTTGATGTCGCCCGATAACGCGTGCTGTACCGGATATAACGAAGGAGCCTTTTCCGCGAAACATGAAAGTTTCTTTTAAAGCACAATGTGCGCAGGAGCAGCCCTGTTTCCTTTGCTATCCGAGCTTGCCATCGCGCTGCCGACACTGTCCATGTCGAATGCCGCCGAGTCACGTGTCCCTCACAAAGTCAGTCCTAAGGTAGAACATGTCCTTTCCAACTCTTCAAAACGTCCTCTATGTAAAGTTTGCTTTCCTTGGGAAGAACGATTTTTGTAAGGACATCAGCCCTACTGAAGAAATTTTTGCCCGTTTTAACACGGAAATCATGTATGAGGCGGGTGAGCCGGGCTTGGTCGGGCACGATCGAGTGCTTCATAACTATTTGACTGCAAAAACGCGTGTGGAAAGTTGTTGTACTTTTGTGTTTGAAATAAAACGTTCAATACATTTCAAGATGTCGTAGATCTTGCAAGCTGCTTTTAAACCCTAGATATGCAGACGCAGTGGCTTCGAATTGAGCTCGCACATTCAAGCGCACACTTTTTTGCGCTCAGCAGAATATGGCTACCTTTGAGCTACATAAATCTCTTACATTTGGCTACTTTTGGGCTACACCGTTTGGCTTTTGGCGGTTTCAGCTCGAAACTACCTGGCAACCCTGAGAAGGGTAGGAGAGGGCATGACGTCAGCCGTATAGCGTCCACATGCCATGCTGCCTTGACGCCTCGCGTCTTTCTCATTTTCCTCCTTAAGGCCCGTTCACACTCTTGCAACCGAGTGCGACCGAGAGAGACCAAACCGGTTTTTAAGCCTCTTGCGATCTCTTAGGACCAGCTCCGCTCAGTGCATCCGGTCCCAAGAAGTCTTTCTCGGTCGTACTCGGTTGCAAGAGTGTGAACGCGCCTTTACTCTCCTCACTTATCAGGCCAACGTGACCACATCACGTGACCGTATTTAGCCTTCGATCTGATCAAACCTACCAGACGGAGCGCGCGCAAGCCTGCAAGAAATCCTTCTACAATCAACCATCCTGGTCCATCCATCTCACACGTGACATGTCACGCGCACCAACTGCCAGAGAGATCTACGGTCACGTTGGCCACAACATCGTTTAAACTTTTTATGACTAGGCTTCACCAATATTGCAACCACTTACAGGTTAAGAAGGTAGCGGCAAATGCCCCTCAAAGGGAATCAGATATCCCTCTGCCACCTTTGCATCCAATAGCGTCCCACCGTTTCCGTGACGTCGCGGACAACGCGCGAGGAGGGTCTTGCCTTTCTATAGATATTTGCTTTATCTTTCGACTTTGACTTAGCATTGTGGAAGCCACGAGAGGGAGATTAGAGTTCTCCCCCACCGACGGAAACAAATACGACTTTGGGGGTTAGCTTCCCCCCCCCCCCCCCCCCCCCCCCCCCCCCCCCCCGATGGATACAAAGGCTGCTTTCAGGGGCTCGGTTCCCTCTCCGATGAATACAAAGGTCGCTTTTTCAAAAAGTGGGATCGGAGACAAGTGGGAATCCATTGAAGCGGAACAAGGAGCGTTTCCAGTGAACTCTTCTTTCGACTGCGGAGAGATTTGAAACGGGCGCATCACACTTGTGGGAGGAGCTTCTCCTACCTTCTTGACTTGTAACCTCCTTGGTACCAGTGGTGTGATTACAGCGGCATATGTGCCAAACTCTGCTAAAATGCTCACCCGGCTTCACCCTACATTTCACCAAAATGTAGGGAATATGCGTCCACATTGCTCCATAAGTTCACTTCCCTTTTGCCAGTCTCACTAGTGCAACAAACAGAAACAACCGACACCGACAAGCCTGAAACACGTGCACCATGCATGCAAAAGTATACATATTTGGCAGGCTTGCAGTCACTCGTGCTTACTTCAAGAGCACCGAGAGGCCCTCAGGAGGCGCAGCATGTGTCGACCACTGATCTCAATGGAGCCCTTTTTTGCCCGTTTTCGGTTTCTGGTGACTCCGTCGGCCGCCATTTTCCCATTGAAATTTTAAGAAAATCACGCATAACTTTTTATTAAGGTATCGGATCGGGATGAAACTTTGACATCTGGTTGTGACCACTAGCACTACTTTTGGGCAGAGAATGAGCGTTCGGCGATGCCTAATATATTTTTAAGGTAAAAAAAGAAGAAAAAAAAAACTTTTTTGTGGCACCCTGCACTTGTGAGAAATGTTTTTTTTCTTTCTTTTTTTAACTTGCGGCTATTCATTGCTTTACATAAAGGCTATTCGATATGAACTTGGTTCACCGTATAAAACACTAAAGCTGGGGTACAGGAGACAGTCTGCATAGAGATTCGGACGCGAGTCACCACGAGACCCGTGCGTCGAATGCCGCATGGCCATGAGTTCAAGGAGAAACAATTGGCACGCGAGAATTTGCTACATCCTTGCACATCAAAAAAAAAAAAAATATATATATATATATATATATATATATTACGCACACAAAGCGCGCGCGCGCTTCGGGATCTCGGAGGTTATGGCGCAGCGGCCCCGTCGACGCGCGCCAGCCAATGGAACCGAAGGCGCGCGGAAACTATCTGCCGTTTTCGCGCTTCCAACTGATGACGTCAGCTCGCTCCATGAGACAGTTAATGCTTTCGCATTAAACAATAGTGAGTGGATCTCAAAGCAAATAGTATTGAGATCTACCCCTTATTTTTTTTTCAGTCAGCCAAGAGCTCGGCGTCGTCCTGACGTCACTGCAACTCCTGTGCAAGAAGCAGTACCGGTACAGCAGATCGCACGGTTAATGCGATTCCAGGCGGCAATCGGGGGGTGGGCGATGTTTCAGGATTTCAATGTTATACCGAAAGAAACACCGAGGAAGAAAACAAGTGGAAAGGAGGTGACTACCGACTAAAGAAATCGCGCCTCGCGCAGTCATTATTGCTCTAATTGTGTTTTTTTTTTTTTTGTTTTTTTTTTTTTTGCGTAAAATTCACTTTTTTACACGCGTGTGCCAACCAGACTGTTAAAAAAAAAAAAAAAAAAAACTTTTTTTTTTTTTTTTTTTTTTTTTTAGGGGTTTAACATCGAAGCTTATGCATACTTTTGCAGTGCACAACAATATAACTCCAGTTGGACAGGAACAAAACATCTGCAGTTTCTTTCGGAACAAAGTTCTAAAAGTAATTTCTCAATGTTTTTTTTTGTTTTCACTGATTGAGACAGAAAAGGGCAAAGGATACTTCACAATAGACATTAAAGCAACATTTAAGGTATCTTAATATGTCACTGCACTTCACTGAAGTCTACAAAGTCTACATGGTTCGTTTTTGAGGTGTGGAGCTAGCTTATATGTTCCTGCCAACCCTTTGCATCCTAGAAAATACTTTCGGAGCAGAGTAATTAAGAAAATGGTGAAATTCACTTTATGAATACGGGGAAAAGATTGGGTTTAACCCAGTCTTCAAGAACATGTTCAGGGTGTAAATATCGGGCTTTACACTAACAGATTGCCAGGTGCGGCCCTCGGGACCATCAAAAAGCGGGACATCAGAACGAAAATTGGATCTAGCAAAGAATGTGAACCGTCAGCCAGTTGCTATGCCGACATGCTCACAATGAAACCCCGAGTGCCAGCGGGTACCTCGGAAGCAGGGCATAACTGAAACACACGATTTATTATGCAACTCCTCGAGGGTGGTTATGGTACACAGGTGTCAGACTGTCTTCATGCGGCTGAGTCCTCCGGCAGAGGCTTCTTTTCACTGCGGTGGAATGGCCAGGCTGGTCAGGATTTCCCGTATTGATGGATAGATGCAACATTCTACGGGTTGGGAAAGAAGAAAGACAACACCCACATCCAGTTAAGACAACGACAAGCTCCCAACGATGGATGGGTGCGTAGGCTAGTCGGGAAGTCGCATTTAAAAACGATGGATGCACAAAACAAAATGAAGAAAAGAAGACTAACACATTATAGCTCAAGTCCTTTGCGTATTTCAATGGCTTTAATACAGTCCGTTGCAGGTTAAGGAACGCAGGACATGCTCCCCCCCGAGACTCTATGCTTGCCACAATCAATGGCTTCCTCCTCTAAAGTCTAAACCATTTGCTCTGCTAATGTGGAAAGAGTGGCGGGCTTTGGGGAAGGAGATTTCGTTTCCTAGTTGTTTTTTTGTGGTGCTACGACACAAGAATGCACAGCACCTGACTTGGGCCTTTTTATATTGCATATGCTTAAACACAACCGCAATGTAAACAGCGTGTTGCAATTAGCACAAACACAACATCGGCACTTTTTCATGTTTTGCTCAGGCAAAGTATTCATAAACAATAAATATTACTGCCTAGGTAAGTTGATGCCCAAAACATACGCAATCTATGGCGCAACTAGTTTTGGTGACGGCCTCACAATTGTAAGAAAAGGATAGGAAAGACGGCAGCCTCTGTATGCTACATGACGCAGTTTGTGAAAACCTAATATGTATTGGTGCTTTTTTTTTGCATATTACAACCACAATTATATGTAAGTGTCAAACTCCAAAGCTTACTAACTAGGTTGGTGTCTCGCAAAAGCACCTACCATAACGCTAATAGTTATGAACACAACCTTCCTGCCAGTAAAAAAAAAAAAAAAAAAAAACAATAAAAAAAAGGACCTTTTTCGTTTATGTTAACAATACTATACTGCCACACTCTGTATGCACTCAATGCATTACTAGATTGGTGTCCATACCTATGGAGAGGAAACAGTACAAACAGATATGGTCACTGACAAGACAAGAAGTGCAGGGCATCTTTTTCAGAAGCCCATTCAGTGCACGCTCATTGCCTTCTGCTGTACTTCTGCACGTGCATGCTCGAAGCTCACAAAACGTCCAAGTGCTGTCCAAGGTACGAAGCTCGCACCGGAGGCAAGACGACTCAAAGACCTTCCTGCCATTCAAGTCGTGTCGGTGACCACATCAGCACCAACTGAACAACATTGCAATACGCAGCAACGACGAGCAATCGGTGGCAGTTTCCGGTCAGAAGGGCACCCACCGTTTGGGGGTGCAAACTCGGCGAAGCGACGGAGCATGGCGTTGATGAGGACGATGGGGGCATTGGGCTGCACGACAGGAGTGTCCAGCCGCTTGTCGGCCACCTGCATCACGTTAGTGCTCATGTCGTACACCACGGGCACGGCAATGTGCGATGGCTCTCCGGGGACCGTCCGGGTCAGCTGCAGCTGCACACCAGACGAGGATTAGTCGGTTGTTGCGTTGGGACACGGCTCTGCCTAGAGTCGGCCGAGAGCTACGCTCGAAGTAGCCGCCCCATTGTTCTGGGGCAAATCCACGTGGCTCAGACTACAGTCGGCCAAAAGTTACACTTGAAGTAGCTGCCCCTTTGTGCTGAAATGAAGCCCCACGACTCAACCCAGAATTGGCCAAGAGCTACGATTTAAGTATTCACCCCTTTGTGCTGGAACAAATCTCCACGACTCTACCTACAGCCAGTCAAGAGCTACGATCAAAGTGTCTGCCCCTTTGTGCTAGGACAAATCCCTACGGAATTACCTGCCCCTTTGCACTGGGACAAATCCCTATGGCTCTACCTAGAGTCAGCAGATAGTTGCACTCAAAGTATTGTCTCTTTGCACCGGGACAAATTGTTACAGCTTTACCTAGAGTCTGCTGAGAGCAGCACTTGGGTATCGTTTCAGCTTGTGTTATGTGCAAATGATGTTTGTTGGCACTTACAGGACACTTGATGTGCTTCAAAAGATCACAATTGTTTTTTCTGCTGGTTTAGAAACAGCAGATGTCTAAGTTTCTCCATTACATCAGCTAGTTCTGTACGAGTATAAACACTTCCAAGTGTGTTTGACTCTTGCTTTCCTTTTTTATGAGCAATTCTAAAGGACGGTGCTAAAACGTTAACCACTGGCACTAGCGAGCACCAATTCTATAGGTTTTTCAAGCATAAACATTGTGTTAATTACCTCTGTTAAATTTAAAACAAGCAGCTGAGGAGAGAGTATGAGGACTGCATATTGCTTTATTATTTAGGGATGCGGTGGCAGTTTAGAAAGAAACACACTGGCCAGCACAGTGCACCTATGCATAGGCTCTACCGAAGTTCCAGCATACTAAAAAGCCACTGGAGTGAACCACTTACGAAGAACAGCATCTTGTTCTTGATCACGAGGACGGAACTCATGCCAGAAGGTGCGATGGGTGGCGCGGCAGGCGGAATTGTCAGACACAGTTGCATGCTCCACTTCATGCTACGGTCAGGAACCTGAAAGCACCCCAGCCGCTCGTAAACATTGCTTGATGAAAGCATCTATGTACAATTGTGAAAATGTCAATAGCTATAATGCAGTCAAGTGTGCCTTTGACAGTCCTGCAAGTAAACCTCCAGTGGGTTCAAAAACAGCTTTGGAGCTTAACAGTTACACACACAGACGTACAAATGAGTACATCGTAACAAAAAACACAAAATAAACTTTTTTTTTAGTGGAGATTGATTGTTTTTTCAATATAGTGATTCTATCTTCTAAAGGGCTGTCCATACACGAACGACAAACATGCATATTTGTGGATCTGGCAAACCTCACTGCCGGATATGACGTTTCTTTGGCAGCATACTCTCAATTCCAAATATGTTTGAGTCTAGAAGTTTGGTCAAATTTGTGTACATCCCCAGAAATAGCTTACAATAAAGTTCACCGGACTTTGGCCTCATTGTGGGTGTTTTACAACCTTCAAAACTGCACAAAAAAAAGTCTCCTTTAAAAAAAAAAAGAAAAAAGGCCTTGCAGGTTAAGACAAGACAAAGTCAAAAGACAAGAATGTCCTGAACAGTCATAAAATTGTAACTCTTACAGATAATAAAAGCATCTGTCACCCTTTCAAAAGGATCTTCCACAAAAAAGATAACAAGCTCACCAGTTCCAGTCTCATGAGTTGAACAAAGTCCTTGAGAATGTTCAAAGGAGCATTAAGAAGCCTAGTGAAGGACATAAATGCATTGGGCTTGTACGGGAAACTAACCACCTGAAATGGAAAACCAAAAAATTGGAAGCTGTATTTCAATCTATCGATCAAACCGTCATATGCCAACTGCCACGTAAAAGAAACTGTGGGTTTTTGTTACGTCTTTAGTGGCACACTTCGATTGATCGAGTGACATCAAAATGTCAAGTGATGTCACACATCATGTGCCACAGTGTCACGTGATTCGACGTTATGCAACATGGTCATGTGACGTTATGGGATCACACGGCGGTGAGGCATAACTGCACCCCGATACGACACTCTCAGATAGAAATGGGCAGGGACAAGAATCGAGCCCAGGATCCCTCCATTCTGCAAAGAGATATTTTGCTCCAGGTACTCCAAGCTGCGGTGTGCTAACACGATCTACTGCTAGACACCCCTTGGAGGGCGAGTCAGTTTCCGAGAAGCATATAGCAGAGGCAAGTTATTTAATCTATCCCTGATTGTGTAATACTGGACGTAAACACTCGCAACAGAAGCATGTCGTTCGCACTATGTTTCGTTTCGCCACCTGCTGAACCAGGTACACAAGCCCCTGATGTTTCAGCTGGATTGTTACTGTATCATGCAAAAAGCTGTATGCTACAAATAAAGCCATTCTGTTCTAAACGTACCTTGGTGTCGAAGTACCGCTCGAGCAGCTGCAGCTCGTCGGGACTCCACTGCTCTGGGGGACCCGGCGGGGAGAGTTTGAGGTGAAGGGACTGCATGCTCGCCGGGTTCAGGCTCACACGGCACTGGAGGGTCTCTGCCCTGAACTGGATCACCCCAGGCTCCTGGGTCTGGATCATCGTCAGCTGCGGAGGAGGAAGCGATCCCCTCGGCTGACTGCTGCTCGGAATACGCGCACACCAAGCATGGAACGGTAATCCGTCTCTTTTTACATACGCCGGGTTTTGCAAAAAAAAGTGTGCGTATGACGCAAACACTCTTTTTCTCTCGTCAACTCACAAGCACGAACATGCTTTCATGAGACAGAATGTGCCGTACGATTTGAAAAGAAAAAAGAAAGCCTGCAATGAACATATTATTAACTGTCACTTTTCCATAACACTGCCGATTAAGAAAAAAAAAAATGAGGAAAAGGTTATCTATTTGTGACATCGTGACATCTGACAGATGGCATGCCGGCCTCTTTGACGCGATTCGTGGCTGCTTCGGGAACACTTTTGATGCAGGGCGGTGCAGGACGCTAAACACGGCGGCCAAAGATGGCGCGAGGCAATGGCACGTCTGCACTCACGTTCTCCTCGCCCTGCACGACGCGGTGCAGGCTCTTGCGCATGAAGACGCAGCCGAGGAAGCGCTCCAGCGGGGAGCAGTGTGGGGCCAGCTGGAGGGGCAGGGGGGGTCCCCCCATGCCGCTGCCCATGCTGCTCTGGCAGGCCAGGTCCAGGCCCTTGTGCGACAGCAGGGTCGGCATGGCCGCCGCCCACGACCGCTGCGGCAGCACCCGCGTCGATCCCCCGCCCAGGCCTGCACACCATGAGTAACAAGGACACAAGGAGGATGCTGACGACACGGCGGGAGGGAAGGAGGGTGATGTTAAGCGGGGATATAAACTCAAAATTCAAACTTTTCAGAATTTTTAAAAAATTTTTATTTATTAACTTTTGAACAATGGTTTAAGAAACTTTCGTTCATAAACATGGAGAATTTATCTCACAAAAAGATATTTTCGGCAGCCCTCGAGTCAGTAGATAGCAAATTTTTACATTTTTAATTCAGATGTTTTGTGCACGCTTAACATAGCAAGAACATGTCGCCCTCATTGGAAGCGCCATTTACTCTAGATTAAGCCTGTAGTAGCTTCCCAAGTTTAAAAGTATCGATGGCCAGGAACACCCGACACATCCAAAAAAAAAGAAATGTAGAAAATATGGTACGAGCAATCTTATTGGTGGAGACCCAAAACAGGGCTTACAAAATTGGTCCTGCACAATGACGTGATGTTGTGTTATCTTCAGCGACATTCTCCTGACAGTGTCTTCCCTTTGCCTCTTAGTTCTTGGCGATTTATCTGTCGAGGAATGCCTGCCACGAAAATCAGCTCGCATACGACAACACAAGGTTGTAGCTTTTGCCAGGGGAAGAACCGAAACTCAAAGAGGAAAATGCTACCTATGCTCCAAGTGAATTTTGAGTGCCTGGGACTCGTGGAAAGTAGAAAAATCTTAAGTTGAAACTTCAAATGCTCTTTTCTCAGTTTCACTTTTTGGTAGAGAATGTTGTATGAGGAAATGTATCACTTGACATTTTGAAAGTGTGAGGACTTCATTTAGTGTGGTCTTGGAGTGAAATTTTCTGAGGATAAGGTACTCATAACCTGAAAAGAGTCACTCCTTCATAATGACAACTGAACATTTTAAAACAGAAAAATGTGCATACATTTTTTGTTCTTTTGGGCATTATTGCTTTTCTCTAGGATCACATTTTTTTACAATAAATTTTTTGCCTTAACTTGCACTATGGGTATTCTACTTTAAATTAAAACAAAAATTTTGCGGACGGCAATTATTTTTGTATTTAAATACATTTCCTAATAAAGTACTTTTTTTCTGGAGCGTGATAAGCATAGTATGTTGTTGAATTGGTCTATAAGGCTGAAACTTTGGACACCATCATTCCTAATAGGGTTCAATTCACCTTGAAAATATGAATAAATTTGAACAAAGGGTTCAAAAGTTGACCCTCCCAGGCCATATGACTCCTCAAAAAAGATAAAAGGTATACTCCGCCTTGCCTTGCGTCTGGACGCAGCGGAAGCTACGAGCTATCCTAGCCAATCTCGTTCTGTGGACGTAGACCGTGATATGTTTTCCGCGCGTTTCTGTGCCCCCTCTCCAAGGTCACGTGGCACTCACATGGCCTTGGAGAGTATGTTATTCGGCGGGTGTGTGCTCCTGGCTCGACAGTTGATCCTTTCGGATGTGACACGCACGGCGGCAATGCTCTGAGCTCAAGCACATCATTTCGGCACACATCTCACTTAAAATACTAAATCCATAACAAAGACGAGCTGGATATGTATCCCTCTACTGCACATAACCAATGTAAGTGCATACACTATGTAACATTGAGAGTATGGCACACTTTTTGTACCTCCACTCTTCCAGTACCATGCAAGTGCTTCTTCATATGGTTGCGGTCTCGCTTTCGATTCGGGTTTCCGTCCTGTGTTTAACCGGATGTTGTGAGTTTTTTGTTTGTGTATAATGAATGGGTTAACTACAAAACGATAAAGATGTTAAATAAAATGCTGTAAACGCAAACACTGACTCCTCAATGTTTCTTGATCAGTGTGAATGAACAACAATGATTCTGACGCACCAAGCAAAACTTCTCACATTGCAGTCTGCGCCGCGGTTGTAAAGGATACATGAATTTTGTGACAGCAAATGTCATCCAATCTACTGCAAATTCTATGTCACGAGATTCAGCTCCCTTGTATTTATAAAACATGTTTGGCTCAACCAAGCCAACGTTATGTGCAGCCTGATAGCTGATGTACATTGAGAAGATTTCTTTTGCATTCCCCATCACTTAAAAGGTCTAAAACTGCAGTTGACTGCCAATAAATGCATGTTGAACTGCAGCGCCGCCCGCAAGCAAGATATTTTTTTATTTTTTTTTACCACTATTTTGGATTTTAGTCTGGACTGTGAAGCTCCAAAGCTGTCCAAAGTTCTGAATTCCAAACAACAAAATAGTTAAAAAAATATTTTGACGGGAACGTTAGAATAATTTAGCAAGCATTTTCACGTCTTCAGAAAGTGGCGCAACGGATGTCAAAATAATACTTAAAATTATTTTAAACGTAGACGTCGAAACAGTCACTACCAAAACAAAAAGCGGGCCGATCCCGGATGCAGTGCTAACACAGGTCAACACACAAAAGAGGTGCAGCAAGCTTCAAGCACTACTTCGCCATTGGCCAGTGTTACCAACCAAGGGCGCAGCCGGGGGGGGGGGGTGCTTCAGCTTCCCCCCTGAAATCCAGCCGAGCCTATAATATACACATACATTTTGACTGACCCCCCCCCCCCCCCATCCCCCTCTCCGCACCCCAAGTCATGGACAGGGGTTTCCCAGGAAGTGCAATTAGGGGGGTGTCTAAATTTTAACCAAAGAGGGGGGGAGGGGGGAAACCAAGAACAGAGGAATCATTGCGAATTAAGGGGGTGCCTTCAGAAAAACAAGGGGATGTAAACCCCCAAGGGGGTGTGCAGGGAAATCACTGTTACCAACACGCTTGTTTTGTACTTAATATAAAGAAGGTTCTTCGTTTTGGGGTTTTATTTTTATTGTCATGTCCATAACACCATTTTCTAAACAGGTGAATTCTTTTTTTTCTTTTCATTTTGACGTCATTCTATTAGAAAAAAAAAATATTTATTTTTCTTCAAATTGTTTTTTTACTACGAACAAGGCAAATAGCCAGTATTTTGATTCGAGGGGGGCCGCCCTTGACAAAATGCTGTATGAGGGGGAAGGGGAAGAGGAGGCCCCAGCAAAATGGTTTTGGGGGGGGGGGGGGGGGGGGGCAAGCCCCATGCCCCCCCCTGGATACGTGCCTGCTATGAACCTAAATGGAAATGCACAGAAAAGAAAATCAAGGTTAAACCGTATGGCCCCAAGAGGAAAATGGGCAAAACCCATTGAAGACTTTGGGAGCTTTGAACTCCTAAACTAAGGGGCACAAAAGAAGCAGAGCAACCCTAATTAAGGACACACAGAGGACAATGAGGCCACAACCATTGGAACAAGATAAAACTTGGCGAACGTCAATATAGATGTTGACAAAAATAAAACCCGAAAACGAAGAATGCTACAAATGTAAAAGGCAGGTTTCAGGTTTTAACTCCCTCCCCCACTCCCCTACTCTTCACACCTACCCCCAGAGCCAACCCCACCTCAACCCCTCTGTCATATGGTGTTCCCTCTTCCTGAAAAAGAATTTCTGGCTACGGCATTACCATCGACCATACCAGATAAATATGACGGTTCTCGTCTGAGGATGCAGCAAAAACATGTCCTCTAAAGTAGCCACGAGAGGCCGTTTATGGAAAAATAGCAGAAAGGTAAACTGAAAGAAGCTGCTGGCTAAATTCCTGTACAAGCCGGCATAATGTTCCTGGAAAGAACCTACAAACCATCCCACATAAGATATAAAAGATATAATACTAATGCCAGCAACATGGTTTCATATGTTCCCAACGCAAGGACAAAATTGGTGGCTAAATCTTGCACAGTCGTCGATGGGCGCTTTGACCAGGGCAAACCTTGTTCCTACGAATAAAGTCGGCACACGATGAAGGTGCTGGTTTCGCTCGTTTCCCCACCCTCCTGTGGCTCTTAGGAACCTGTTCTGTGACATAGAGTCACGTGACATCGCCACAATATGGTCGCACAGTTACCCACACGTTTGCCACCATCAGCAGAGTAAAGAAGTACTATAGCTTCACGCGTTTTCCTTTTTGCACAGTGGTAGAGCATCAGGCCCAGAATCTTAAGGTCCTGGGTCCTAGTATTCTTGTTGGGGGCAATTGGAACTTTGCTCCTCCTTGTCAATTACTATGCATACTTTTGTAGAGATCTCTCCCCAAATTCTGCGTCACACATTTCGTCACAATTTTTCGTGGCATTCCGTCACACTTCGCTCTAAGATTCCACCCCCTAAACACATTCCGCATTAGAATAGCTACTAAAAGCCATCTGGCAGAAATGCTACTGCAAAGCAGATTCAAGAGGACTAAAATGACACAAGGGCAAAATGTTCCTAGAAGATGCCTTTCCAACCACCCCTTACAAAACAACCATCATAAAGAAAAGTCACAGGGCCTCTTATATTGTCCCTAAGACGACTTGAAGGCGAAAGCCCAAGCGCCAATGGTTAAAGACAGACATGACTTACTTAATTCACTTTGATTCCTCTTAATTCGCTTTGTCATTCTTCTTAATTTCATTGCCTCTAAATTGCCTGAGTGGACACATAAACATGATAGCGAACCTCCGAAGACAGTGCTCTCTGTGACGACGCACTTGTAACACACTTTTGGCGTATTTTCGTCGTTTTCGTGTCGTCGACGTGTTTTCGCTCAAGGACTTTGAAGGTCGACTGAACGATGAGACATATCAGGCTTCCGCCTTAATAAAGGCCCGACGAGAACCAACCCCACCTGTGGGCATCTGCGGCTTGTGGTCCATGGGGGGTCCCGTCTGGGGGCTGTGCAGGGCCGCGGCCGCAGCCCCGTGCGGGGACGGGCTCGGGGCCAGCCGGGGGGAGGGCCGGGGCACCGAAGGGCTGCCCGGCCATGTCCCGGGGGCGGGGGAAGACAGGGACATGCTGCCCTGGGAGCCCCCCGGCGTCGGGAATGGGGAGCCCCCCTCCGGGTGGCTGGCTGCGGACAGTAACACGGCAGGCAAGCGACTCAACTTTTGAGGCTTTGTTGGAAACTCGACAGCGTTCTCTCCGCCTTTTTTTTTTTTTTTTTATGGTCACTGATATGCCTCAAAATTAAAATCAAGTATAATTGCCCCAGTCTTTACTAACAACAGAAACAACCAACAACTGAAAATAAATTTTAAAAAAGGACACTCGAAACAAAACAAAATAAGGATTAGCATGACAAGCTACACCCAAAAAGCCCACCCCTCTTTTTACTTCAGCAAAGCAAACTCTGGAAAGGAAGAAACCACCAATCATGGCGAGCAGAGCACTTTGTAAAAGCGGCTTCTCTTGCTATTGAAACCCTAGCCCTAAGCAAATTCTGCTTTAAAACTGGACTATGGGTTGCAGAAATTTTCTCTCGACTGCTGGCTGCTTACAGGACATGTCACCGTAAAATTCTATCGTTGGGCACAAGTTAAAATGTGCCAGAAGCTCTGCCTCCAGCACAAACTCATTGACTTCCGTCCAGCATTGGCCGGGTGTGCTCGCAAAACCCTGAAGAGTTAAAGGAAGCGGAGAGCTCGGGCTGGAAACGGAGCTTCTGCCCTATTCCAACCTCTACCTCACTATGAGCACACATAGATACCATACTTTCCGATCTACAGTCTACACCCTGTGTATAGTCTGCAAGGAAGAACTTTGCCCAAAAGAAGAAGGTTTTCCTTAGATGGTGCGCACCTGGTGCATAGTCTGCAGTAAAAAATTTCCTATGCTGCACACCTCGAAAACCGTCCGCTTTACTTCTTAGTGCAAAAAAAAAAAATCTTAACACGTAGAAATCATCATTGACATACTGTCATTTACAAGATCTGTCATGTCGCCTTGTAATGACCTTAAAAAAAAGCAAATCCTTTTATTGTTCACACCCGTAGATAGACTACGCCATGTAAATTTAGGCTTTTAAACGATCTGCAACAGCTACTGCCCTCTACCTCTCTTACCCCTCAAATTAGATTACAGGGTTTTAGCTACACATTAAGCGCCGTTCACACTATTGCGACCGAGTACGGCCGAGAGAGACCAGACCGGTTTTTAAGCCTTTTGCGACTTCTTAGGACCGGATGTGCTGCAGGGAGCTGGTCCTAAGAGATTGCAAGAGGCTTAAAAACCGGTCTCGTCTCTCTCAATCTTACTCGGTCGCAAGAGTGTGAACGGGCCTTTAATGTTGCGTTTATGACATGCTCTGGAATTGGAAGTTCTCTCGGCAGTAGGAGAATGGGAAAGTTAGCGGCGAGTTGGCGGTGTGCCGGTAGGTTTTACCACAGGGTTTTACTGCGGTGATGGCGCAGATACCACCGACAGATTTTCTGAATCGGCGCCTCTCAACACCGCGTAGCCACGGACAAAATTAAATTAGATATGTTGTACTACAGCGACAGCATGGGACAGGTCCCATACGCCAGTATGAAGTGCAGCAGGTCGTCAGCAAGACAGCCGCTTCCCTGCCGCCGTCAACCATTCCCGCGGTATCTCTAAAAAGAAGGGGACGCACTGTCACTCACTGGCATAGCAGAGAATGCACAGTTTTTTATGGGCTAAAGCTTTATTAACTATTTTGTCAGGATAGGCTCGCAGGGCAGAGTGGATGAAAAAAGAAAAGAGAAAGATGTTGTTCGCCGTCTTGGACGATCAAGACTTAAAACACAACTTTACCGATGGTAGAAATCTTGCCACACGCCTTTTCTACGATTGCAAAAGACAATGTAATCTTGGCAGAGATATAGCAACGTAGAAATACGATTTCATGATCACATAGACGTTGCGTTCGTTCAAAGAATGCTAACACTACTCACTTTTCTCGGGTGATGAAAACACGTCAAAATCCGCATCCTTCAAACACACCTTTAAATACAATACGCGCCGGTAATATCTTGAACTTGAGCACACGCACGGAATGTGCAAACTAAGAAATCCGGGCAATGTTCGAGGACAAAAATGCTAAAAAAGCACCACTGTGGTTGAAGTAAACAAAGAGGACGGCACGAGTGTTTCTGCTGTCTTTAGGATGTTGCCACAACATCACCGCATGAGTAGATGGATCTTCCTTTCTAGGACGTGCTAGGTTATCATCGCGACACGCAATGAGAATTCAGTCAAGGATAGCGCTTTACGCGGAACAATGAGCTTCCACCACGCCGACCACGTCGATCATCACCACCGACGCCATGTTTATCAGCAGACAGGCGACTATGCGCAGGCGCACTCTGATTTTTCTCTTGCTTCGTTTACATTGCTAATTATTCAACAAAATGTGGATCAGAATATTCTTAAACAAAACTTTTAAGAAACATTCACCGGCAATTTATTGTTTATGATCGCGGTGCTGGTGAGGTAGGCTCTGATCCAATAGGCGACGTGGATTTGGCTGACGTGCCGTGGCACCGCGACGCAGTGAAAAGCCAGAGAGCTTTCAAAGGAAAGGAGGTATGAAAGAGTTTGCTTTCCTTTTAAAAATTCTATAGCAAAATGTTTTTTTTTTTTTTTGGCTCTTTATTTTTGTGTTTTGGTTTTCTCTTCACACCTTTTACGACGTGCAGTAGATAAAATTTGATTTCAAGATTGCTTCATGGTCCCTTTAATAAATGACGACGACGACGACCATGCCTAATTTGCAGACTACAATCCGGAAAGTATGGTGTATGCGTTGTTGGAGGGCTCAGAAAAAGGGAGGGTGGACGCCACTCACCCTGGGAAGCCATGAAGCCCGGCTGGGCGGGGCTGGGCAGGGGCACCTGGGAGGGCGAGGGCGAGGGCAGGAAGGAGGGCGAGGGGGCGTGCAGGGGGTTCACGGGGGAGCTGGCCCCGAACAGGTTGCCCGGGGACTGCGCCTGCATGTGCAGCAGCGAGGGGCTCACGTGGGGGTTGGCAGCCCCGCCCACCACCCCCGAGGAGGACGGAGGAGGCCCCGGCACGGGGGGGCTCGCCAGCGACGCAAACGACGGGTTCGGAGACGCCACGTAGCCCTGTTCTCCGCACGCATCACAAGCAGACAAGGGGAGGGGAGAAGGAACGATGCCAGGCCTCAATCCACGGCCGGCCGTTGTCGCGACGTCTTCCGGTTCAAACATTGTCTCAAAGCTGATTCGCACGCCTCCGTTCGCTTATGACCGAGTTTTTGCAATCTCTTACAACGAGAGGACACACTGGGGCCAAGATGGCCCAGAACTGCATTTCACTAGAGCGAGGGTTCTGCGGTATTTGCACAATCAATAGTATAAAAAAAAAAGATATATATATATATATATATATATATATATATATATATATATATATATGGGCTTGGATTCAGGCAAGAGGTGCAGACATATTTTTTATTTTGCATCAAAATTTTATATTTTGTGGCACATGTTCTAAGAAGAACAATCCTTTTTATTTTGATGTCCTGACATGTCTAGTTTCTGAGAAAAAAAATTCTCAAGGAAACGGGAAAGAACGACGAGGTTTTGACGATTGTCGTGTGCGGCATTTTTGAATGACTCTTAATCTCAAAGTATTCAAAAGAAAGCATCTTTATTTTTTTTTATTGTGATATATATACAAGTAGGTAAAACGACATTATAACTACTATTTATTATTCGTCACCTCCAGTTTTTGTAAAAATCCCCAAACATGCCTCCGCGAACAACTGTGACCTAAACTGCAGATATTTTTTTAGTCGACTATGTTTAGTATTACTTTTAAAATAATACCACGTGTAAAACCTTTCATTGCCTTCCACATTATGCAAAGTTTGTTTCTTAATCATGTACAAGTACTGAGAAATAAATTATGAAACAGAGGTCTTTACGTTTTGTTCAGTTTCAGCAACTGTATAAAAAAACATTTAAAATTTTTTTTTTAAATCTCGGTCGTAAGCGGTTGTGAGCATGCGAACCAGCCTTCGGACGTATAATAGCCTTGCTTGCAACAGACCGCCGTAACGACAATAACTTTCAAATGGCCTCTTAAAGCGATACTTCAACGAAATTGAAAATACAGTGCAATCCACTTATAACAACACCACATATAACGATGTACTGCTTATAACGATCAGTTTCTCGGGTTTCTAGACTAGAAACGATCAGTTTCTAGTCCGGATACAACGATAATCGTTTATAACGATTGAAATTTCAGGTTTTCTCGTTACCATTATAAGTGGATTGCACTGTATACCCGTCGTGCTCAAAAATAGGTTGAATATGGTCCACAATATCCGTAAATGACAATCGCACGTTTGTATTTTGAGCCTGATGGCTGCATTTATCGTTATAAACGGCCCACTTTGGCAAGCGCTTGGAGAGCAGCCAGCGGAGAACACGTCACATCCGACGCAATCGTGACGCAGTTTGTCTCGAGATGAGCAAAGCTCCGGCGAGGCTGACGTCGTCAGGATGCCCTAGCCGTTCCAACCACCGAGGTGGTCGAAGCACGCTAGCGATCGGGCCATTCCAACTAACCACAAAGCTGCTTTTGTGTCAATTTTGAGTGACAGGTTAATCTTCTATAATCTTGTAGAGGGAGAATAGCAACGTCTGGAACACAAAAAGAGAGTCCCATGTATAGACCACAAAATTGGTGTCGAAATTTCGCTGTAGTATCCCTTTAAAAGGCTACCCCGCTCAATTTAAAAAAATTGCGGGATCCCGGCTTTGGTTGTACTACTTAATAAATGGCCCTCCGTCGTTTGCTGAGTGGGAAGTAAAATATATTTGCGTGTTTCCTTTTTAACATAAATCCCAAACCGAAACCAAAACTTTGAAAAACAGGTGTCTACTGTCAGATAGTTCCTTCACAAAACCCGCCCATAACGCACTACTAGTATGTATTTCGGCCAAACATGCCCCTTATCGGCGGAATAAAGTTTTGAAGTGTAGTGAGTCTCGCTAAACCTCGTATGCTTCCTCAAAATGTGCGAGGTAGAACCTATTTATAGCAAGGACAGATACCGTATATTAAAGATCAGGGTACAATAAAGTATAGTTGAAGTAAACTCATAACTTGTGGTACAGGCATTAAAGGTACTGAATGTAATGAAGACCTTTCCTATAAAAACTGATGTCGTTAGAGATGGGTTCCACCAGATAACAGTAGTATGCTAAAACTGGGCCACACATCGCTCCCAAGATGTGCCCGCCGATTACTGCTAAAACAGAAAGATTCAGCAATGTTCATAACCTAGCAATTATATCAAGCTGCCATCGAATTCTCCAATGTAAACCACATCATTCAAACCTATTATGTACTGCTTTATGGGGAACTTATCTTTGAAACTATAAAATATGCCATATTTCGAATGCAGGTGTGAATTTCAGCCGTCATTATCCCCCTCCTCTCTCCTCCCTTTCATCTGACCCCCGCCTCAAAAAAAAAAAAAAAAACGGGCAAATTTAAACAGTGCTAGAGGGTGTTTCCACGTCAGATCATACAATAATGGTCCGGGTCATATTTATTTATATTTATGTAAAAACATGTGAAAGCCATGTTTTTGGGAGGAGCATTCAGCATCTATATGCAAACGCCATAGACAAATTTTTTCCGGAGAAATAAAATTTCAAAGCTCGAGGCATGAAGAATGTCAAGGTTTCGCTATGGTACTTTGCACAGCCGACAATTACACACCGAAGCATGCACATAGTAAGATGTTCTTCTACTTATTTTATTAAAGATTTACGACATGTTCAGAGAATATTAAGAATTACAATAAACAATTTCTATGCAAAACAAAATATAGGTTGTTACTTCGTTACCGAAAATGATACAGGCTCGACCATGCTGACAAAGACCAGGGAGCACAGAATGTTTCCTGCACAAACACCACTCTGTGTGTGGTTTGTGCTAGATATTTCATTCCTTTTATTATCCATTTCTTACTTTTCCCATTTCATTTATTTATTTATTTCCTTCATTGTTATATTTCTATTTATTTTATTAATTTATTTTTATTCATTTTGTTAATTTTTTTCATTTTATTATTTTCACCCAAAACCTGCCGCTTTCGTTGGCATGTTTGCATTCAGATAAAACCATTTACCCTACCAGACCAGCTGTGCTAGTAGCTCAGCGGCTATCCGACTGCCAATGCGCTGACCCAAATTTGAGCCCCGTTGGGGCTCAAACTTTAGCTTCATACATCTTAACGTCTATAACGCTCCTGGCGTGTCACTCGTTCACGACACTCGTCATGACACTTGTTTGTGACAGTTTTCTCATGGAAAACGACTCATAAAACACATTCCGTGCTAAAAGTAACTTGGTACAAGCAACGCGTTGTACCCACGAGCCTGATGAAAAGCGCAGGGGCCTTACCTGAGAGAGCACGGACGGGTGGGGGGAGGCCGGGGTGTGTGGGTTGGACGGTGGCGTCATGGGGTGGTGGAAGCGCAAGCCTCCCGCGGCAGCTGCCACTGCGGCGGCGGCAGCAGCGCTGGCGTCTTGAGGCCTCTGTGCGGGAGACAGGGGCCTCAGGCCCGGACCCAGGAAGGAGTCCATGCCCTCCAGGGTAGGGATGGGCGACGGGGGGTTGTCGTCCTCGGACTGCGAGCGCCTACGCAGCTGGCACGCGCTCTCATCCACAAACTTGCTCAGAAACGCCTGGGCAGAAGAGAAAAAAACCTCGAGGATCAGAGGGACCGCAAAAACAATCTTGTTTTCAAACTTCCGAAAATTGCTATTCGCATTCGTAAAACATAAAGCAGGCACCGCCCTTTGTTTACGCCAGCTGACTTTTCGCAACGAGCAATCCTCGAGGCAGTAAACTTAAAAAATAGCAACAACAAGAAAACAAATTTAAGATTAAAAAAAAATGTTGCAGACAGTAGTCACGTTGTCCCAACAAGAAAATCGCATGAGCGCATGACCTGCCATCACATCTTAAATCCTTGCACTTGGGGTGGGTAAAAATATAATGTGCGACCCAGGTCTGACGTGATTGAAAACCACCCAGTAAAATAAGTAGAGCCCTGCGGACATACAGGTTGTCAATCTCATCTTGGGGAAAGGGGGGCGCTGAAGCCCCCCCATAAAGCCTCCTTACCTCCCGGCCCCTTCACCCCCAGCTACACCCGTACCGTAGTTATCCACGGTAAGAACGCAGGTACGGGTCAAACAAACAAACACCCACTCTGAGGCCCTGAATGGGTGTGAAGTCCTCAACGGCCTTGGTCTTGTCAAACTTGCTGTAGGCGCCGTCCCTGACCGCCACCATTCCCTCTGGGCGACACTGGAGATCCAAGACGTAGCTGCACAAGGTGCTAAGGAAAACGCCGCTGCAATGGCGCCGTGCATATAGCCTACCGACACGAAGTGGAAACAGAGTTTCTGCCGACTGTACTTGGCGCAGACTACCGAATTTACTCGCATAATGAACGCACTCCCATGACGAGTACCAGTATTTCGACTTTTTTTCCCCCCCTTGCGTAATGAACGCACCTCCAATTTTCGGCTCCGTGAGTCTCGAATTGTGTCCAATTTAGCTAGCCACCAAGCCAATTTTCTTTTGCCGCCAAGCAGTCAGGCCAAGCCAAGCCAAGCCAAGCCGCTCTCGTAATGCTTGCAATAGACCATTTGCTATATTACCCAAGCATCAGGGAGAATGCAGCGATTGGTGTTCCACGTGCCACACGCGCACGCCTTCCCCGTACAAAATATTCAAAATAAATAACCAAAATAAAGCGTTGACGAATATGCGTGCAAGATGCCATTTGTTTTAGGTATTTGCTTTAGAAAAGTTACTGCTGAGGCCAGCACATGCGGCACGTGGAACACCAATCCCTGCATTCTCCTTGATGCTTGGGTAATATAACAATAGGTCTATTCTGTAGTTGCGGCAGTGATCAACCGTGAAACCGAGCGGTGCACACACTTGACGAAGAATTGCCCAGCCCCGGACATGCTTTGCCCGTCTGATGCATTGATGTCAACAAACACGCCGTCGTCTGAGGTCTGCTTTCGGAAAGTGAAAGTGGTTAGGCCTAAGAACGGTCGCGTTTCTCTCCGTGCTGAGTGAGCTTCGTAGGGCGCTTTTTCTTCAGCAAAAGGCACGCTGAAAGCACCCTAAAAAGATTCGCAATTTAAAAAAAGCATGGTTACTGTAGCACGCCCCCGAGCAGCCATGGGTGCACCTCCATCAATGGAGACGTGCCACAGTACCTTGCCGTGCCATACTGGCACCTAATATGACATGCACAAAGCGTGTAAATGCAAAAATTTTGCCCTGCGTAATGAACCGTGCCCTGCCTTAAGGCTACTGCACTGTTATTTTAGCTCTATTGCTTTTATCGAATTACCACTTATATCCAACCTTTTTGCCGTCCTGTTGACTTCGATATAACGAGGGATTACTGTCTTTAGGTAGTGCATTAATCATACTCAAATTTCATGAGTGTAGGTACTATATTAGGAAAAACAACTTACCGTATTTTCCGGGCTATAGTCTGCGGACTATACATGTTTAAAAGTTGGAATTTCTGGCTGTGCGGACTACTATGTGTGCGGACTACACAGGAATTATGTTTTTCAAGATCGTTTATTATGACGAGACGTGACGAATTTTGTTCGCGAAAGTGTATGTTAATGATGATTTATGCACATTATAGGCTTTATTGTGAGCTAAAGAGCAGACATTTGTAAACGTGTGCTGTCTATGAGAAGATTTTCGTGTCGACTAAGCACCAGGTGCGGACCATGCACCAGCTGCGGACTATGCACCGGGTGTGGGCCATCTAAGCAAAATCTTTTATTTTTGACCCCAAATTTCCCCCTGCAGACTATACACCGGGTGCGGACTATAGTCCGGAAAATACGGTAATCTTAAAAAATCCTGCTTTTTTTTTATACAGAGAGGAAAATGGTAAAAATTATCTGGTTGACGCGTATTCCAAGGATACGTGTTTCTGTAGGCCAAGCGGAGGTGGGTTGAAGACTGGGGAATGATCACAAAGGTCTGCACTGGCACTTGAGGCCTCTGCACGAAAAAGAGAGACTTGGCAAAAACAGAAACATTGTGAAAAATGTTTGTTCAAAAATGTTGCAGCTGTGTTGCTTGCACTTTATGACCTAATTAGCTGGCCATACGCATACTTAAAAATATTTTATTTTGCTACAATTTTTATGAAGCTAGACTGCAGGTAGACAGAAAACTAGTAATAATTACAGTCTTTTTCATCTGAACCTCTGTAATCTAGTTTGACTGCAGCAACTACTACGAGAGCAGTGATCCCGGCCTAGGCTTTTAAAAAACCGACCATGTTCCCTCATGCAGAGACATAGGTGTTATGCACTCTATCATTTAGAAACCAACTAAGCAACGGCATAAGTCTCTTTAATGGGCCATTCATTCTGCCGCTCCACCGCAGTATACTGGTGGTTTTCTCTTAAACAGGAGGACAGGTAGTTAGTCCATGAAAAGATAACCCTTCCATTTCCACCTCAAAGTTTAAATGAGGCAGCTCTGCAATAGACCATTGTACAACCTCCCCTCAGTTAAAAAGATAACTTGATGAGCAACGAACAGTTTGGGAAAAAAGACTTACGCTGTTGATGATGCCCAGCTGTGGAGCAGATGGCAGCTTAGTGAGTGACAGCAGGGGGGCGTACGTGTCCCTGAGCACCTGAAACAGATAAAAAGAAAATGTGCTTTGTAGACATACGTAGCTACAGTGCCTTATACTTCAGTCTGAGTTGCTTTATACTTAATCAAATGAAAAAATATATATATAGAGAGAGAGAGCAGAGCTCATGGCTTCTCTTGGCCATTTTTTGGCTAAAGCAAACAGAAATAAACACTTCTCCCAGAATAAATTGTAATGAGATGCCTCTCATGGGCAGATGGCATGACTGGTGCTTTCAACAGGAAGAACAAACCACTTACACATCTCTAGCAGTATTCCTTCTTGTATCAATACTGATAGCAACGAATTAATTTGATGCCAACAGTTTACACGTGCTTGAGAAAATCCAGGAAAAGTAAGCCACCAAATGCACACAAAAAAAAGGCAAACAAAGAAGGATGCCTGTTATGTCACTATTCCCCCTCGAAATCTTGTCTGGTAACACTTAGTGCACTTAAAGGGGCAGTCAAGTGGTTTTTGAGTTCGTGTTTTGATAATGACAGCTGAATTTAGACGCCTTAGGTATCCCTAAAAACCAAAAAGTATAGTCAAACGGTGATTATTTCTTTAATAAAAATGTAATTGAAGGCCGCCAAACCTCGGATCCATCCGAAAACGAAACGTCTCTCATTGGTCGTCGCACGCTTATCAAAAGGATCTCGGGCCAATGGCGTTGGACGACGTTCCGTCGCGCAGTGATTCCGAGGTAGCCGCATCGGCCGAACCTCTTTGTCATTCGAGCTTCGATCATGGCGGAGTTCTCTACGCTCGAGGACCTGACGCCGTTAAAGGTTGAAGTTCTTCGGCGGACAGCCGACCTGGGGATGATTTCCTATGACGCCACTCCGACGTGCGATGTGGACGATAGCAGCGCTTCGGAGTCATGTTTGGGTTCCGAGGACGACGAAACGCAGACCTTTTCGGGCGTTCTTCGATTTGCGGTTGGGGCAAGTCGTAACCAAACCAACGTTTGACATCGCAGCGTTACCTCTGTCGCCACGTTGACTTTCGCCTCGGGAGAACGGGGGTAAGGCTGGTTCAGACATGTGCAACGAGCGCGTACCTACGACTGCGTCCGTTGCAACCGGAGCGACCGGAACGACCGCACTGCGCCGCGCGTACACACACCTGTAACCACTACAACAAGCACAGCGGGTCGTCAGCACGGCGACCGCTTCTGTACGCCGCCGTCAGCTGTGTCAGCGGCCCCTCTAAAAAAGGGGACGCACTGCTACTCAATGCCGTAACAGAATATAGACAGACAGTTTTCTAGTCTAAAGCCTTATTATTTTTTCTTGATAGGCTTGGAGGGTACAGCGAATGAGCTCTGAACACGGCAGTAAGTTAGCAATTACTTCAGGGCACCAAAGTTTCAAATTATGCAGTAGCCAACAAAAAGCTATAGTATAACTCCCTCAGTGTTGTTGCCAAATCGCAATGTTGAATCTGCTTGAACCCACTGATACTGCCAGTTACATTTTCACCATATGTAGCAATCTGTGTCAGCCAGTATAAAAATAAGCCTTTTCAGCCGATGAAGCCAGCCAGACTGCAAGAAATATGCAGAACTTGACTACTTTGTAGACGAAAGCTATGTAGCGCAGGAAAGGAAGGGTAAGCGATGACTACAAGGAAAAGAAAGAGGGAGAGAGGGATGGGTAGAAAAGGGGGTGATCTCACCTCGATGAGGGTGGCAACAGAGCGGTGTTGGTTGAATTCGTGCTGTAGCTGGGGTGCCACCACCGTGTGAGGGTTGCTTGCAGAGGCCGTGTGGCCCACCACCCCAAAGGCCAGGTGGAAGCGCTTCTCGGACGGCCGCCAGTAGATGGTGACCTGGGTGGTTTCACAAGCGTTTTTTACCTTTTCTATTTGTTTGTCTGCCCCTCCCCCCCTTTCAGAAGAAGGACTGGTGTCATAAAACCTTCTGGATAGACACTGTTCCAAAAAAGAGATTAAAAAAAAGTCCGCAAAAAAAAAAAAAAAAAAAGAAAACGGTGCACAACAAAGCAAAACATTCACAAAAGTGGCTGGCACCCCCGAAACCCAGATGTAAAAACGCCCTCTACTAGATGCCTCGATGCCAGCCTTGGTGTTACAACTAGGGCAGACAGCTTCTATCGTGAGGATTGCAAGGCAAATCCAAATGATATATTATGTTTAAAAAAAATGACTGCAAAAACATTTTGTTTGGCATTAGTGTTGTCACTGCCTTTTCTTTGAAACAGCAATGAAAATGCTCGCTTTAAAGACGAAACACGAGAAACAACCGGGGGACTCACAGTGCTGGCCTTGTTCAAACCATAGCCCAGAACCAACTTCTTGTAGGTGAATGACTTGATGTCCACAATGGACATCAGCGAGTGATGTTGGTCTGAAAAACAGTAGTAACACAGGTAAGTCAAAACACACTGGCAAAGAAATTGTGGACTACTTCACAACAAGGTAGTGTTGTGCAAATATTCGAATTTTCGAATATTACGCTATTCGCTTCGAGGTGAACTGCCATATTCATGTTTTAAAGGGATACTACAACGAAATTTCGGCGCTCATTTTTTGGTCTATATGTGTTCAAAGGAGCAGCATCACATCGAACATACCAATATCTTGTTAAAAAAAGTCACAAAAAGGAATTTTAAAACAAATTAAACGATTAGCAGAGAGCACCTGGTGGATGTCGCTAACGCCTCGCTTGTAATGCCCGTCTAGGAACCTTGACAGCTAGTGACGGAGGTTGTCTCACCTCCGGCCACGACGAGAAAAGAGGGGCAGGAGGAACTCCCCTCTTCCCGAGAACGCCTTTTGTGTGTCGCAGAAGCCGCTATTGTCCCCCTACAGATTACAGAAGATTAACCCGTCACTCAAAATTTGTACAAAAGCAGCCGCCTCGGTGGCTGAAACGACTAGGCCATTGTCTCGACGTCAGCCTCGCCGTAGCTTTGCTCGTCCTGAGACGACCTACGTCACGATTGCGTTGGATGTCACGTGGTCTTCGCTGGGCCTTCTCTGAGCGCATGCCAGAGTGGGCCGTTTATAACGAAAAATACAGCCACCAGACTCAAAATACAAATGTGTGATTGTCATTTACGGATATTGTGGATCATATTCAACCTATTTTTTAACACGACGGGAATATTTCAAATTTCGTTGAAGTATCCCTTTAAAGTGAGTTTTGCGGCAGGTTAGCTTTGTTGAGTGCGCTTCTTACCGAGCACTGGTGCACTGTGGAAAAGCAGCACCTGTGGAGCTCGCTTCAACGGGTGTTGCTTCGGTCCCCAGTGCACCAATGCTTGGTAAAAAGCATACTCAATGGGGCCAAAATACAGCGATAAACTATTTGAAAAGTATAAATATTGCAGCGGCGTGCTTAATAGGAAAGCACACCTTCAAAGCGGGACGGTGCATGCACGCTTCTGGTGTATTTAAAAAGAAACAAACAATTTGTGAATGTTGATATATACATTTTAGTAAAATTTTCAAAATTAAAATGGCTATTATGCTTGAGTAAATGTTAGGCAGAGATGCCTTGACAACCTGCATTAATCATTCGTAATTGAAGAAAAGGTATTTGTATATAGCAAGAATATTTCTAAATCTCCTCAATTAGGTATATATGGGCCTCTCCATAGGCTTAATTATATGTCAAATGTGTCGTTTACTTGCCAACCTATTGTAGGCATTGAACTTTCTGAGGCCACAGTCAAGAAAAATAGTTCGATCAAAAATAATTTAGCTTAGAAATGGACAAGTGAAAGCTTGGGAACAACTTTTGAGAGTTCAGATGGGTTTTCATTTAAGCATGGTGTAGTAGTGGAAAGCTTAGAGAAACTATTGAATTAGAAAATATTCGGCCAAAGCCACTATTCACTTTGAATTCACTTCAAACCCAAAATCCACCATTCGCACATGACTACAAAAAGAAGACGCTGAGCCTGAAACACTGCCTATCCATCCTGTTGAATCTTTATCTATCTGGGCCAAATTTGCATTGAAGCTGACCCCAAAAATGACGTTTTCATGGTGTCATTTTTAAAATGACGAGCTGGACAAGAATGACGAAAACAATACCTGGAGAAAGGAAACAAGAGGGACAAAGGACAAACACAAATCTCCAAACACAGCTAGGTGACAGGAGCGGGACCGAAAAAATGGAGAGGTCCCTACCAGGACCAGGCAAATTTTTTCGGTCGCGCACCAGTCACCTAGCTGTGTTTGGCTTGTTTGTCCTTTGTCCCTCTTGTACCCTTTCTCCAGAAATTATTTTCGTAGGAATGTCAAATTTTTGTTTTTTTTGTTTTGCAACATGTAGCTAAAATAGTGAATTATACAATGTTGAGAGCAGACTTTTCAATATACACCAAGTCTGAAAAATTTACAGAAAAAGTATTGTTTTATTACTTGGCAACCACATATTGAACACAGCCACTGAACTTCAATCTGCTGTCAAATCACCAATCCAGCGATGTGATTGGTCAGAGTCATTTTGGAGCAGCCAAAAGTCCATTTTGGAGCTGCAAAATGTGTACCTTTGGAGCACAAGCACAGATTTTATTTTCATTCATACCAGGTTGAATATTACGTTAAGATTTATCTGTTTATGTTTACTTTGCCCTCCTGCTTCTATGAAATCTTTTGATGGCATCAGCAGCATGGCAGGTTTGATTTCCTGACTAGCAGTTTAACTGCACGTAGAAGCACAAGGCACGGTAACAAGACGCTGACAGACAAAGGGCAGTACAAACTGCTGTGCATGGTAATTTTGGGTGCAAAATCAGGTGTAAACCAAATAGTATATTCCACTAAAATAATGTTAGAATATAATTATTTCGAGCACCCAAGTTGATGTTTTTTTAAGTTCTAAATGTTGTAATAAAACTGCAGTTCTTAATTTAGATAAAAAAACAAAGCTTGTGTCACTTGAATGTGAACATCAATTACATTTTATAAGCAGAACTTCATGATAACCAAAAACAGCATGTAAACAATAAATATGCTTTCTTAAAAAAAAAAAAAAGATCCTGCCAAACTTGTTTAAGGTATTCCCAGGCTTGCATTTACTGCTCCAGCTAACTTACATAACTTACTATATTCACCGTGCTATTGAATGGATGGAACCTATAGAGGTTCCATCCATTTATATAACCTATAACTAAACAAAAGTTTTTACGTAAAAAAAAAACATAAAGAGCAGTTCATAAGTTTGCTCGCAATACTCAAATATCCTTGATGAATCTCGAATGTAAAAAGATACTGCTAGAATATCGCAGTGTAACATACATACTATCCGCAGTGTATTAAAAAAACCGCTTGTAACGTCTCGCAGTGGAGCCGTCTTTTCCCCCTCAGCACACTGGTGCACTGCGGTGAAGCAAGATATGCCAAACTGCGATGCCTATACTCCGCGACAACTTTTCTTGGCAATACAGTGGAAGTTGACGAGAACCCGCGCATAGCCTTATCCAGTGCTCAAAATGGGACAGGGATCACGTGTGTGCAACCTCCACTGCATTGCCAAGAAAAGTTGTCGCCGAGGATAGCACGTGGTTGTCGATTCCCTGCAGTATACCAATGCGCTGTGACAAGCACACTCAACAATGCTAGCTATCCAGCCAGAACAGACAATGAGCGTAAAAAATATTGCCAAACTTCCAAGTACTGTCAATGTTTGATACAGAGATTCAATAGAATATCATGTTATTTGAGGTGAAAATTGAAAGTTCTGGCGATTCGCACAATCCTACCTAACGATCTGGTCGTGTAGCGGTGCCTACATTTTGGCAAAATGTAGCAGGATGTAGCAGGGTTAGTGCATTGGCACAGTTTGGAGCAAATGGCACAGCAATCACATCACTGCTAATAATGGTCCAAACTCAGAACTTAATTACAAAAGTGCAAAGGACAAGGACAGAACAAAGTCTTTCTCTTCTCCCAGGGGTTCTCAAACTGGGTTCCGCGGAACACAGGGGTTCCACGAGCTGGTCTCATGGGTTCCGCGAACACCCATATTGCAACCCCCCTCTCCTCCCCCCACCCCCCATACCGCTGGCTGCGCAGCAGGACAATGCAAAGCGCCTTCATCTCACTTTGTACTGACATTGCGATTGATATGGTGGGGATATATGGGAAGCAACACAAGCAAAATTGTTTACAATTGTGCATCTGTTGCTTTTCGGTGGGCAAATATGGAGGAGGGGGAGAGGGGAGGGTTCCGCGAACGTATTTGAGGCTTCCTGGGGTTCCGTGAGACCATAAAGTTTGAGAACCCCTGTATTAAACAATCAGTTGATAGTAAGCACTTGTCCTGTTCGTATCTTTGTTCTGTCCTTGTCCTCGGCGCTTCTGTAATAAAAATGTTTACCCAACAAGCCAGACAGTTAATTTTACTCAGAAGAACTTTGTACATCGTATTGCTTATACTTTGTAGTACCAAGCCATGCCTTAAAGGGGTACTCCGGCAATTTTTCGAGCAACCCCACCTATAACAATATTTTCGAAATCACCATCTTTTACACCTTCCGGTATGCTATTTAGTATCGCAGAAACAAAATAGTTATTGTGAAATCGGCAAATAAAAATGACGCCAAAACCAAGATTCGCATATACCAACGCTTTTCATTGCCGTGACGTCACGAGATGGCAGGTTCGCGATTCGAGCGGGCTGTCTAAAAATGAACTATGCCGAGCATTTGTTTCGTGCTGCTGCACGGGAGCTGGAGCGACCTTCCAAGGTATTCATTTGACACCATGAAACTGTTTGTAATCAGTTGGGAACAAAGTCTACAACCCAAAGAGTGAACCCCTGCCTTCCCATAACGTCACTTTTTTAATGTTGCCAGTAGAGCTTTTCACTTTGAAAAGCACGATGAGGGCCAAAATTAAATTCTATAACTTCGTGAAAAAAAAAGTTACTTTGGCCAAATATTTGGGTTACTATTTCAGCGATGTTTGTTGGTGTGTTTAGCACGTTTTTAGGCAAATTGGGGACTATGAAGGAAATGCCAGAGTACCCCTTTAAACATAGTTCGTTGAGCAGTTTTCTTTCCACTGTTTCTGCAAACAAAGGCTGGCAAGTCTCACCCAGGCGCAGCGCCTGTGCAAAGCGCAGCACGACCCCGTACAGGTGACCGATGGTGTTCCAGTCCTGGAGCATCTCCTCCACCACCGAGGCCACCTGGGATGCTGTGCCCGACGCAAAGTCGTACATGAAGCACACCGGGCGCCGGGGGCCCCGTTCTTTGGGGGACTGGCTCGGCAGGGGGCAGCTGCAGAACACAAACTGCACAAACCCACCCGCCGGGGGGAAACACACCGTCAGAGGGGCCTGCACCCAGACACACGCTCACAGCTTGGGGCCAGGTGTTCCCAAACTAGTTAGGCCTCGGAGAACCCTCAACTGGTTCACACGCTTGCACGACTGCTTACAACCGAGTTCTTGCAATCTCCTATGACGAGAGAATGTGCTGGCACGCTCGTACCAACTATGAGGTGACCCTACAACAGCATTTCAATAGAGCAAGGCTAGGCAGTTAATGCGAGATCAAACGTGCATGCTGTCCGTAACAAACAGTCATTTATAACATTGTCAAAAATGTTTAAAGCAAAAAAAAGAAAGAGATGCGGAAAGAAAGGAGGAAATATATGAAAACGCCAAGTGTTCACGGCTACCCGACAGATGACGCCAGCCTCTCCTCTAGTCACAAGAAATCCCAAGAGGTTTTAAGGCCCTCGGTAGCAAGCAGTCGCAGGTGTGTGAACCAGCTTTTATAGTCCGTCTTACACCACGAAACCACGGCCAAGGCCACGGGCTGCCGAGGGATAATGGGACGGTTCAGAAACCGCGCAGCACTTCCGACAGGCGTATCAGTATATTGCCGTGGACGGAAATGGATCGACACGTGTAAAACGAAAAATAAAGGTTTTTCGGCGAAGTTGCACCAGAAACAAAAGAAAGGAAGGGCGTCGAGAGGGCAGCATCGAGCGTCGGAAATGGCAACAGTGAGTGTCGAGGCGTCGGCGTGACAGCTAGCTGGTGCGAGAGTGAGTCGGCAAGGTCATGTTGGCCTCCTTATCTATTACACTCGGTATCTTGAACACTCAGTTTAGTATGTTTCAGCATCAATTACTCGGGGTAAAAGTAAACTCAAATCTTTTGAACTACGGAGAAGCGTTCCTCTCGGTCATGCACACGGCAATATACCGCACGTTTACTAACTGGCCCATGAGTGAACCCGGAGGCCTGAGCTTTGGCCATAGTCCTTTGAAGAGAGACATGAAGCATAGCTACCTTAAGTAAAAGGCAAGGGACCCTCCCACCCTTCTCGACAGCCTTACAAAATTTTGACTTATGGCCCAGAGACACTTCCCAGTCTCAGGCTATATTAGAGAAAGATGAAAGTGTTTGACACATCGTCATGCATCAATGCATGGCCCAGGGAGTTGAGTCTAGAAGCAGAATCTACAGGGAACAAGTTCGGACGCATCCTTCCCAAGGACACTGGCAGAGGACAGAAGATGGAAACTCAGTAAGTACCGTATTAGTCAGCAGACTAAACACGTTTAAAACTTGAAATATCATGCGGTGTGGACTATAAAGAGGCATGAACTACACAAGGATATGTTTTCTCTACATCATTCATTATGATGAGATACGACAGGTTTCGTGACTAAAAGATTACGTCAATGATGATTTATGTACGATACAAGGTTTCTATGAGCTAATCAAGCAGACATTTGTCAGGGTGCAGTGAAGCAATTGATCCGAGCCATTTGGTAGCACCCTTTTGGAGCAGCCTAAAGTCAATTATGGAGCAGCAAAAAGTACTTGTAGAGCACAAGCACCCACTTCATTTTTATTCATACAGTACCACTTATGTGTCAAGATTTGTGTGTTGGCCTATCCCACTAAAAAACGTGCATGTTTGCTTTCACACTTCTGTGCAACGGCAGGTTTGATTTCTTCAAGGGGCAACTTCGGTCAATATTTCTGAATTTGGGATTACGACTATTTTCAGCTAAGGCAGTGTCCCTGAAATACAAGGTATAATATTTTTTCTTCTCAATATTGCGAGTGGTTTTATAAATATTACGGCTCAAAGTTTGGTTTCAGGCATCTACAGCAAAACTGAAATTATCTGCAAGAGGGATGGCAACACTAATCATCAGCCATATGGCTGCGACGTGAATCGAAAGTTCTTAAAATTCGCGTAAGCCTACCAGAACGATACAAACATGTAGCAGGGCCCGAGCCATTATATTTTCAGTATTTAATAAAGTGAAATTAAGTTTTGGCACAATGTTGGTGCAAGTTCCTCATATTTAGGCTAAATGTAGCAGGGCGTAGCAGGCTAAGCCCTTTGGCGCAGTTTGGTGCAAATGGCGCAGCAATCACATCACTGAAGGTATGCTTTGTATGGGAATTTTTTATCTGTAGGCTATGCACTAAATGCAGACTACTTAAAAAAAAATTCTGTTTGGTCTCGCGGGATATATATTAGGTGCAGACTATAGTATGAAAAATATGGTAACTTCTTACCTCTGCCAGCCACGCCTTGATGCCCTTGACCTGAAGCCTGAGGGTGCAGCTCAGAGTGGCCGCCTGGAGAGCCGCAGCAGTCTCTTTCTCCCAGTCTTCCCCTGCAGGCATCCTGTAGGCGGCACAGAGGCTCAGTGACCCAACGGTCGGACTACGCTGTCCTGGGCTCGGCAGAAGACAGTTTGAAACAGAAGTCCGAGCATGTTGAGAGTAATGCAACTTCTCAGTGTTGTTTCTGTAGTGCTGCGGTGAACTGTACGTAGTCTCTGCTTGGAGGTTACCGTGTTTCGACGCATGCCTGTTCAGGGTATGCATCAATGTGTTCAGGGCTTTGGCACTTTATACATCTGCAAGATCACGCTCCCTGGACTGTGTTACTGAACCTCAATCATTGTGCCTTCTAATATTCTTTATCCTTCTTTTTCCTCCCCAATGAAATGACAGACAAATATGTTCCCTAAGCAACCTCTTAATTTAAAAAAAAAAAAAAGGAAAAGCAGAGAACAATGTCAGTTGCTAGTTTCAAGTGCACTGCCTGTTAATGACCATAATTAATTTTATTCCGGCATTCTATTTATTTTTACCCTACTAAGTAAGTTACCAGAGCCTGTTGTATGCGGAGGGCAAGTTCGTCTGCTTCTTGCGCAGGGGGTAGCGGTGACGTCAGAACGCCGAGTCCTGATTGGCTGATCGCGACCCCCTATCCGAGTGTCGTCTGCTCCTTTACAACATCGTCTGCTCGCAACGTCGTTCGGCGTCTGTCTTACCTTTCCTGTGACTTTCGAAAGTGCAGAGGCCAGAGGCCAGGTTCACAAAACGACCTTACGCCAAAAATATGCGTAAGACAAAGCTTGAGAACAAATTCGTATTCACGAAACAAAATTTTCGTAAGTTTTTGCGCAGGTTACGACGAAATCCTACGACAGCTCCGAAGCTGTCTTACGCACTTCTTACGATCAACTCAGCATGGCCAACAGCGTCGCGGTCGCGACGACCAACGGACGTTTATTTTTCTACGTGCGCTTCTCACGCGTCCCGACTACAAACAGCAAGAAAAAAGTAAAAAGTACTTGAAACAAACCACGACGAACAAGAACGCTGGATCCACAAACACCCAAGAAAAGCTCCAACGGCCATGATTCCACCGACAACGACCAAGCGAGCACGGCAGATAGGCCTAGCAGGCACTACGACCCGGCGACCGTCTGCCCACGACCGGCTGGCGTGCTGAATGGAATATGCCCGCGCGACCCTTGTGAACCCTTCCCATCTCATACTTTGATCGCTGACCTCAATTTCAGATTAAGAGGTCAATCTCTTCCTCTTGTCATCTCCCTGTTTTCCGAGGCAAAGGTAACTCTCACCAGTAAAAAAGCGGCGAATCTCCGACAGACGCAGGAAAGGTAAAGCAGCCATTGCTTTGACTAGCAGACATAAAGCAGACGACGTTAAATACGCCAACCCGCCGACGCCGTTAAAGAGTGAGAAGTTTCGCCGCACACGAAAGGAGGGAAAAAGTATTTGGGAGGGAACTTGCGGACACTAACCACCCTCACCTCTCGGTTCTTAGCAAACAAACTTCGGCGCCTCGGGACACCTCGCCGGTGAGTCCTCCTTCCCCCCTTGATGCGCGCCTGCTTGTTAGACAAAAACAACGTTACCGCTCGAGTTATTTCGTCTGCCCTCTCTGAAAAGCGAAGTCGAGCTCGCTTTTCAGTTCGAAAGTCGCAGGAAATTTAAGACAGACGCAGACGATGTTGCGAGCAGACGACGTTGCAAAGGAGCAGACGACGCTGAGATAGGGGATCGCGATCAGCCAATCAGGGCTCGGCGTTCTGACGTCACCGCTGCTTCCTTTCTCATGCGCAGAAGACGAAAATGAGCCCACTTGCGAGGCGTATAGATTTCTTTTCTTTTCCTGGCCACCGAACGGACCGAAAGAACAATTCACTGCTTACGCAAATACCTACAGCAGTTCGGTGTTGCAAAATGTAGCGCTTACTGAACAATCTTGACTAGGAAGTTGGTTCCATTGGCCTCGATCTGCATCCCCTGGTGACAGATGTTCCTTTTGTTCAGCTGTAAAAAAAACCAAAAAACAAAAGACAGAGATAAAGATAGGCTCTTTCTGAAATGTTTATGCAAACAAACTTGATACTGAAGTTCACCCATGTCAAAGATGAACCCCGAAATAGAAACAAAAGCAATGCTTAAGAAAACAAATAAATAATAACAGAGCTACAAATTTGGAAACTGCTGAGCTGTTTTCCTGGGCCTCAGAACTCACATAGAGGACTAGTAACTGTGAAGGAAGATGAGATTAATGAGTAACAGGCACACGGAAAGAGAGTACACCCTTTGCAAGTTTTTGTGTGTGACAAACAAAGACAAGAGACAGGAACAAAAAAAAATGGGGATGAAAAGCACAATGCACACGGCACTTGCATCTGGACCAAGCCACACTACGAGTCACCAGCTCACCTCAACGGTAAGGGTACAGAACGGAATGCGGTCATCACAAAAGGCCACCACGTGAGCCAGTTCACTGATGAAGTAGCCCGTGTAGCGGGGCCTCTTGGCCAGCAGTTCGTTGGATGCCGAGAGCTGTAATGAAGATGTATGTTATTTCAGATAGAAGACACGCTAGTACCGAGTGGTCTGTAAACTGAGCTGCCTACAAAAGGACGTTGTGAAAAAAAAAAAAAATTAATGTAACGCCATCTGACTGCTAGCATAACCATATTAATAACTTTGAAGTGTCCAGACTGTTACACCAGGGGCCGCTCTTTCGTTTCATACTTTTACATTGTAGCTGAAGCGGAAGTCACTTGGTGACTGTTTATCTTCAGACACTTCATTATAAACAACGACTGGAGTAAAAGACAGTGCATACACAAACAAAAATTATTGTTCAAAACTTAAAATCAAAAAATTAAAAAAAAAAAACACTTGAATTTTATGTTTTGTTAAGGCTTGTCCAAACAGGCTACAACAAAAGTTGTCAGGCCACACGACTCCAGCAAAAATCGTCAAAATTGAACCGTCCGGCAGTCGTCGGTCGCATGTCTGTTTGGACACCGGCCAAGCCAAATTCACGACTTTCCTCCTCGCCTTCTCCACTTTTCTTTAACGTCGGTACTCGTCAGACTTGACGTCACACGCCACCTGCCAATGGTGTGCCTGATGCCTGTCTAGCTCCAGCGGCTCACGAAGTCGCCGACCTTGCTACAGCCGTCACCTCGGCAGGAAGGCCAAAGAGGTCCGGTTTCGGGTGGATTTGGGAGATTCCTGCGTCGAAGCGCGCGTTTTGGCCGCCCCGGCTCAGCTTTTTTCCGTCAAAAGTCACGCTCGTAGCTCGAAAAAAAAAAAAAAAAAAAAAAAAAGAAGTGCAGTGCTTAACAGTGAGACTTTTAGTTGTAGGTAGAAACACTGAAAACTTAAGAATATATCATTCATTTTATTAAATTTCAAACCAACCAGGTTTGTTTGTCTATACGAGGTACGTTTGGAACAAGAGCCACGGGAATCCGATCAAATCCACAGAACTTCTGGAAGGTGACACGACCTTGGACACGACGCACGCTCGCCTGGCTTGCCCGCTCACACCAACCTCACATTCGAGTCTTCCCTTTCCTGTTTTCGGGGCTTCCAAAGCGGCGGAGGCCTTGAGCGATTGACCAACAGCCAACAGAGCGTGTGAGTGGCTCTCCGGATCCACTTGATGAGCAAAGCAAGGCCGCCGTGGAGGAAGCGAGGGGGAGGTTTGACGGGGGGAAGTTTACCCCGGCAGATTTGACAGGGGGAAATTTCCCCCCGATGGCCGGAAGCGGAGCACCGCACGATTTGCCGGAGTCGTGAGTTTTGTAGTATCCTGTTTGGACAGGCCTTTACATGACCAATAGCCACACCACTTGGCCACGAGAAGCCTCTGTATATGACACTCGGGTAAATAATGCAGTTTATTGCACGTAGTAGCTAAAATTCATAGAAAAGCAGGAAGCAGACTCACCTTTCTTTTCCCTCCTCCCGACAATAATGACACTGAAAAATAATCAAATGGCAAAAAAATGTAAAGAATTTAACTCACCCGTGGAACACGCATTGCGTGTTCCACGGGTGAGTTAAAAAATGTCAAGCAACAGGCAAGTAAGCAGTAAAACCGAGCCAAAACCAGATTCAACAGGTTGAAACTGACAAAAAAAAACTAAATTTAAAGGTTCAACTAAGCCACGAATGACTAGTGTGAACGACAGTTGAAAATGTCGACATTCTAAATTACCAAACTTGTCGCATCAGTTCCAGCCGGTTACCAAAAGAAATAAACGAACGTCCATGAAACAAGCGGGTATGTGAACGCAAGGCAAACGGAGGTCCCGCTCACGGTCGATCTTGGTGCACGGTCCATGCACAATCGCGAAGGTGTCGAGCTGCATGAAGTTGGCCACCCTGAGAAAGGCCTTGGGCAGCTCAGTCTCCATGGGGGTCTCTCCAGAACCCCCCTGGGCCCCCGCCGCAGAGGAGGAGGAAGGGTCCTCCTCTGGCAGCGCGTGCGGTTGCACAGTCATCAGGTAGTACGTCTGTGAAATCTCCTGCGGGCTGCTTGGGTTCTCCTTCAACTCCACCACCTGAAAGCGCGGAGAACGGTCCGACAGTTGCCAACTTGCCAATGGAAGACAAGAAATTCTTGCACGGTGCACCGGCACTATGCTGCCTGCAACGTGCCGTGAACAGGCGTGTTTACTGCCTTCTCGTTCGTGTTTCTCTATTTCCGCCCGACGACGTCGTAAAACGATGACAATGTCACGCAGCTGCCTGTCGCAATCCTGGCAGTCGCGCGGTGGCAGAGGCAAACGCAGCAGACTGCTGTTCTAGCGTAAATCGTTTTTCGGACTGACGGACAGCCACGAGCTGGGACACTACGACTGCAGCGGCACTTCGGTTTGCCCGTCTCTTTCGTCCAAACTTTTACGACCAATCATCTGGATCGTGACGCACCGACTTCGGCAATGTAACTTGCGGCCACTTTGGTACTATGTATCTACTCGCATGATAAATGCACTTGCATAATGAACGTAGCCCCCACAACGGGCATCCATATTTTGACTTTTACTTTTTTTCCTCGCGTAATGAACGCACTTCAAATTGTCGGCTCCACAAGTCTCGAGCTGCGTCCAATTTAGCTGGCCACCAAGCCCAGCAAGCCAATTTTCTTTTGCTGCCAAGCGGCCAGGCCAAGTCAAGTCAAGCCAAGCTGCCCTCATAATGGCTGCAAGTGTGTAGTTGCGAAAGTGATCAACCGTGGAACCGAGCAGCGCGTATACGTAACGAATCTGGGGTCGAGGAATTGCCCAGCCCCAGACATGCTTCATCCATCAGATGCATTGACGTCAACAAACACGCCGTCGTCTGTGGCCCGCTCTCGGACAGAAATCGTGAAAGTGGTTAGCTTCGTAGGGTGCTTTTCCTTCAGCGAAAAACACGCTGAAAGCGCCCTAAAAAGGTTTACAATTTATGGAACATGGTTATTGTGGTGCGCCCACGACCAGCCCTGGGTGCGCATCCGTCAATGGGGACGTACCTCATCACCCTGTCGTGTCATATTGGCACCTAAAATGAAATTTGCGCGAAGTGTATAAATGCAAAAATTTTATTCCGCGTAATGAACACACCCACCAAATATTTGTCAATTTTTCGGGAAAAGAACTGTACTCATTATGCGAGTGAGTACAGTACTTTTGATGCACGGGTGGCATAGGACGCTCGCCGTTCGAAAGACGTGTTCCGGCCACCGTGCCGGCAGAGGAAGAGAAATGGGGCCTTGCTGTCATCCCACATCCGAGTCCTACGGCTTAAAACTTGTCGTACAAAGAAAGTTTAGATGAGAAGTTACACGGACCGCAAGCGGGAGAAGGAAAACTGCCCCACGGAGAGTGGTTCAGACGTCTTGGCTCACCACGTAGCAGTTGTGGTGCTTGCATAGCTTGACATAGAGGGTGTGAGGTCCCAGCCGGGCGGCCGGATGACCCCTGGGCACCACCAGGGGCAGCTTGGGACTGGTCAGCACGGGCAGGTGCTGCAGCGTCTTCTCACAGCGCTTTACCGTCATCCAGAACCTGAAGCGGAAGGGCCAAGGCCGAGCAATGCCACGGTGTCTCGAGTAAAAGATGGCAGAGAGGCACCGAGGATGCTTGTACAGAAATGCACAAACAGCTAGAGATAAGGCCAGTTCACACTCTCGTAACCGCTTTTTGCGCCGCCTATCGGGTGGACCTGGAACACTTCTGATTAGCGCATAATTAGGCCGAAGGTTTCCCAGAACTTGTGAGATCTTTATGACAAATGGTGTCTTATAACATTGTCACGATTACCTCAAGGCCACGGTAAAAGAATGGTGCGTGAAATAATAAAAAAATATATACGAAACATTCATTGTGTACTCGATAGGTGGTGCCTTAAAGCTAGCGCGTTAATTAAGCGCTTACAAGAGATCGCAACACACTCGTTCACAGCCAAACGCAAATCTGTGAACCAGGTTATACACGGGAGTAGAGCTAAATTCTACGCTACATTATACGTTTCTCAGATTACATACGCCAATGAGCAGTCAAACAAAGTCAATTTGGGAGTTTTACGTGCCAAACCAACAACGGGCATCTGGCATGCCCCAGCGGAGGACTGAGGGTTAATTTGGACCACCTGGGGATCTTTTGACGTGCAACCGAAAGCTCAGTTACACGGCGCCTTCTCCGCAATAAGCCTCCGTCAGATTGTGAGCACCTCGGCCGGGATTCGAACCCGCCGATGAGCAGAAGTAAAGGAGACGAACAGACAGTGGCAAAAGACCTCTTGATCTATACAAACAAAAACTGCCATTTGTTTTACGAGGAGAGTACCTGACACCACAAGCCTCGGCCTCACCTCAGGTCTGTGAGGAGGGTGTCTAGCTTTGCCGCATCTTTGTTCAGGGCCTCTTGGATCTCTCCAATCATGGGAGGATCTGCATGAGGAAAAACCCATGTTGAAAAACAGCGCAAATAACACACGGACAAGGAGAAGAAAAAGAGAACACACAGGACGAGGCGTTGTGTTTTCAATATAGATTCATACCGACTAGCCCAACTTTCAATCCGAGGAAAAAGCCGGAAACACTTTTTGACTGTCTATCGGGATCGCAAGGTTGCAACGCGGACTGCGGCCAAACGACGTCCCGGGCACCAGAAACCGACGGTGGCAAGTGGGATAAGCGCAATGAGGCATCCAATATCGCAAAAAAACAACACGGCGAACATATTATCGTAAAGCGGGCATGCGAGAAAAAAAAACACGAAAAAGGCAAGCTCACCGTACTGGGGCACAAAGGCCAGGAAGTATCCGGTGTGGGTGTCCACGGTGACGAGCAGGTTTTCCGACTGCATGCAGGGCTGCAACAGGGGAACCTGCAGCATGGCTGGGGAACCCAAAATGGGGCCTGAAACGCAACAACGACCGCGCTGTTTTCATACCGTTCAAAATGGCTCCTTTGTTTCCGGCTTCCGGGAGCCGAATTGGGAGCCGAGAAACGAGCCGATTCTCGACAGCACTCACATTCGGCGGGTCCCACGACCGAGCTGCGGAGTCTGCCACGAAGGTCGGACAGGCGCTGCTTGGTCCGGATGTGGATCGTCTGGATAAGAAGCTTCTCCACGGACAGAAACTCCGACTGCAACGACAACGTACGCACATGGTCGTCGCAATGGGAGTCGTGACTCCGGGGCTCCCCCCAAACGCCTTTTATACGTGTTACGGAAAAACGTCGGCGAGCTTGAACGTGTTACCGAAATCTCACCGACGAGCTCCTGCCACAAAGCCCCTCCGCTGTTTTAACTTTAGCGGAGCAAACGCTGGAGAGGAGGCGGATGGAGAAGACCACCCATTTTCTCGAGCGGGGAGCTTTCTGGCAGGGGTCCAGCTGTTCTTAACCTGCAACAGGCTACGGTGGCACTCGTGACATTATCAGACAGACATCTCAAAGGCTTTTACACTAAAGACAGTCGAGGAACTGACTTAACCGATCCCTGTCAGTAGAATGCGAGGGGTCGGGACAGCGATCTGGTTTGTCGATTGTGTACTCGCTCTGCCCTGAAGGTCTACAAAATATCCGCACAACGCAAGTGGTACGCTTCGCTCCCACCGCTGCGTTTTCACGCCTTCGTCCCAACAGCGCTGCATACGCCGGGCCAGCTAAGGGCGAAAGATGGCAACCTTGATGGCCTGGTCGGCCCAGACAGCATCCTTGTGCGGAAGCGCCGGGTTGTGGGTCACGCGGAGAGGCTTCCTGGGATCCACCGAATCCACCTGGATGTTCAGCTGGTAAGACTGCTTCTCCTTGCTGAACTGGTCCCTGCGGGCAAAAAGAGAGGAGCCCTCAACACCATGGTAGAGTCGCGAGCTGTCACGAAGTACCACAGCTCCCAAGCCTCCAATCAGAGTCGCTTGGCAGTGCAGGTGTCGTAGCCGCATCAAGATAAACTCGTCATCTGGAGCTCCTTATTAGAACTAGACTGGATGCGCCTACAAGCAATATAACTCCGTATGACGTTGCACTAAAAGCTATGGACTCCAAACTGGCGGGAAGACTTGAAAAAGAACCACCCTGTAGCCTCAATGCGGCAGTCAGCACTGCACCAAGAGGTTAGAAACTAGAAATGTCAGTAAAACTGACAGTGAAAGCAAAGAGCTTGGAGCTGATAACAGATGCCTTTTCAGGGTGACGTAAAATGAAGACAAACGCCTTACTTTGATGAAAATCCATTAATTGTCAGACGTTTGTCCAAGGGATCTCGTGCCTTGGCTAACTCAAGCGGCACGAATGCGGTGCAATCAACCAAACGACAAGTTCAACTTTCTGAACGCAGCTGAATTGTGAAAAAAAAGATGGTTATTAGGTCAGTTGCAAATCAATTATGCATAATAAAATTCTCTTTATGTATCAGTCCTAGTTTTCTATGACGCAGGATTTATACTAACAATGTGGCACTTGCAGCATGCTTTTCTCCCGTGGAGATCGCTTACCTCCAGTACTGCACAACCAGATTTTGCCCTGGACGATATTCATCGACGCGGACGAAATCTCCGAGTCGCTCGCGGCAAAGTCTTGCAAGCTGAAGAAAACAAATGTAATCTTTGCTGTGGTGACTTATTTCAGAGCCAAAAAGGTGGTCACCTTGAAGAATACTTATAAAAAAAAAATATGTGGACAACCAATGGAAAAAAAAGTGTGTCGTAGGCACTTACCTGAGAGTGTATGACCTCTAGTTGTAGACTCAAGCAAAAAGAGTCTATTGAGTGCAAAGTTAAGAATCATTGAACGCAGCAGAGGTGAATGTCCAGGACAAGCCTCATTCATTCTACGCGAAATTCCCTCGAGGCAAGTCCCGAACACCACAGAAGAGCCCCCGTATATGTTGTCCTGCCTACAACCACCGCCCAGACAATAGCACAACTGCAACAATGAAACATATTGCACGTATTTCTTTGCAAAGTAGCCTAAAGTCAAAACCAATAAATAAGCCTGTGCTGAAGCTTCACTGTTAAGCAAAATTCTGAAGCAAGCGACAAAAGCGTGACCTAAGAAAGCGAACTGTTGCAAAACAGACGGAGGCTATATTTTTCAGAATTAGGGGCTACGTGCAATAGTGGTATACAAGTGGAGCTCCCAAAGAGAATCACCCCATCCTTCTCTCCGGCGCTGGTTCAAAATGAATATCTCTACTCGGCTTGACACACAAATGAATATCTGGAATGTTATATCGGCAAAAAGGAAAGTGGTGCAGTAACAATCTCCGCCTCCGGGAAAAGAGGTGTAAGAAATGGTGCGAGCCTACTTGTACCCTCATTGCATGTGGCCCCTCAACTGTTCCAGAGTAGCATCCGCACAATCGAACTTTTCGTACTACGCAAAACGGGTGCCGGCAAGGATACGCAAGCAGTTGTAGAGCTCGTGCAGTGGCTTCGGGTTGTCGACCAGGCGCGACTGTATCAGCTGGTGAATAAACTGGATCTGTAGTGAATGTACCAGGGCACGGCAGTCTGCACAAACAAAATAGGAATACGGTCAGTGTCTGGAAAAAAATCGGAAGTACACTCATCCATTAGGGCTAGCTTCTCTCCGGGCACTGTGACAATGCGGAGCGCAAGTTCACTTGGTTTTTGCAGGGGTTGTGGTGACGTCAGAACATTGAGCTCCGATTGGATCTCATTGAAGGATAGTGGGTAGACCTCAAGGCGGCTTGCTTTGAGGTCAACCAACTATCCTTCAATCAGAACCAATTAGAGCTCGGCGTCATTCTGATGTTACTGCAAATCCTGCGCAAGTAGCAGACGACTTGCGCAGGACGTGTGCATAAGAACTCCAAACATGCTGTCACAAACTTTGGCTTTGCATGATCCCACTGCATGGGTGTTTTTTTGCACGCAATCCACCGAAGACGAATTTCTCTAAATCTGGAACAAAGCCCTACATTTTAGGCACAAAGAGAAGAAAAACTGGACGGACCTCCGGTGTCCTTGTCTTCCACGAGGATGTCGATGTCGAGCAGCCTCCAGGGAATGTGCGGTCCATCTCCCATCAGCGTCAGAGACACCTGCACATTTGCACAGGGTTAGAGCAGAGGATGTGGTGAAAAGAACTAGTGCCAGTGATATGCAACAGGTCCGGTGGGTGAAGTCTCGTAGCAAGCACACTTTCCCAATACAGTCTGGATGTATAGTAGGACTCCTACTGTAAACACCTCAAGACACCTGCCCTGCTGCTGCCATGTGGTTAAGACATTTCTCACCAACACTGTTCTATTAGAAATCAAAACAGAAACAGCTTCCGATACACAGCATGTCAAACTTCAGAACTGTGGCAGGCTGTGAAAAAGGAACGAGGTCATAATGGTATGTTTGGGTGCCAATAATTAAATTTGCCACTGTGGAGCAATTTCTGATGTTTTTCACAAACAGAATTCCAATATATTTGCACAATAAGTTTTCCTTGACTGTTTTTAATGTGAGAAATTAAGTCACCACAAAATGCTCGGTGGTTCATAGTGCTATGCGACAAGAATAAAGCAAAGCATGGCCCCAGAAAGATGATTTACTGCTCTTCTAAGAAACAAACTGTTTCAGTAGCACGCTGCTCGACTTGGGCACCACTCGTAAACTCCAGCCACAAAATCCTTTTTTTAAAAGAAAAGCGAAGCCTAGCAGAAGTAATAAAACAAACAATATGAGAAGAACTGACCTCAAATTCATGTTCCACGTGAAACATCACCCTTCCATTTTCTGGAAAACAAAGACCATAAAGTCGGCCCATTAGAATGAATGAGCATTGCCCATTAAATAAAGCATGCACGGGCCACCACACAGGAGATCTAGTGAGGAGGGGCATTGGTAGACGAGCATGTTAGTGCACCATAGCTTGCAGCAAGTGGAACGAGAGCTCGCACTGCAGAAGCCAAGGATCCCGGGTTCAATCCCGACCCCTGCCCCTCTGGATCCGGATGAGCATCATACCGGTGTGCTGTCGTGTATCGCTACTGCGTGATGCATGTTAAAAACCTCAGGCTAGCGGCAGTACCAAACTGGCGAGGTTTCTCAGCCACAGAGGTGACACCAGATGCCCGTCGAGGGTGACTCACTTCCCATTGTATGAACACGCACTCGACACAATTAGTTTTTTATCTAGTGAAAAACTCGAGGTCAACCCACCAATGCGAAGGGACCTCATCTGAGGTGGCAGATCTGAGGACACCAGGCGATATTGGATGATTTGATTTAGCCGAAGCAACGTTGATCTTCTCTCCGACGGAGTGATAGGGTCTGGTGGTACGATTTTGTCCTGCCAACAAAAGAATGAAATAAAAGGTTTCGGCTGGTTTCTGTCCAGAGACCATTCCAATATCTAAAAATCCACAGCCCAGCACCGTAGAAGGCAAACCTATCATGTGCAACGTGCGTCAACACCGAGAACCGCACTGGCCAGATGTCTGTTTTTGGAATGGTCTATAAGGCTTTAACGTGAAACAAAGACAAAAAAAGTGCTTGTCGATGCCACGAGTTGTTTAAAACCAGGATGCTAAGGTTACCCAAAAAGGCCTCAAGGTACTGCTTAAAGGGATGGTGAACCGAAATTTGGATTTAAAAAAAACAATGCTGGAGATGTAAGCTGGGCACTACAAACCCTACAAGACTACTAGTAGGGCGATATCTCAAATGAACGGCCGTATTTTTGGAAAAAAAAAGTCGAGATTGAACCAGGCCGATAAGGCGCGTGACGTCAAGATACCTAGTTTTCTCCTCTCTTCACTTCGCTCCCTCAAGGCCGCGAGGCGGAGAAGAAGCGAGGCCGTTCCCTCTCCTTCTTCAAGAAACATGACGTCAACATTCCTGGCAAACGCGCCTCTTTTTTTTTTTAATACGGCCATCCGTTTGAGATATCGCTGTATGAGTGATGTTTTAGTGTTTGTAGCATCCCGTTGCATGCTTTTGCATCCAGATTTCGGTTCAGAATCCCTTTAAAGGCCGACGTACAACCTCGGTTTTCTGCACAGAAGAAAGTCCTCTTAGCGCTCCCCTCTCCTAAGCTGCGAGGGGAGCCAAGTTGGGGCAAGCTAAGCAGTGGAGAGGATATGGGAAAGGATGAGGAGGGCAAAAGTGGAAAGCACGAAGTGTACGTCGGCCTTTAAGGACTATGACATCTGATAAAATGACACATGGCGGCTGCCTTTTCTCATAGCAGTCTTAAAAATCAAGTTGCACGATACCACAACCAATAGCTTAAGTTTTAGAAGAAGAAAAGCGAAGAACTCAAACATAAGGACAACAGAGACAACTTCTCAGTCTTGGGGTACTGAGACATCGGCACATTGACAGTGCTTGCCTCAGTTTTGAAATGGTGCAGTTTCTACGCCAAGTTGCTGCAATTGCTAACGTCAGAGGACTCGTCCTAGCTTCACAGGTAAGCAGGGGAGATGACAAGGCCCTCTGGCCCAGAGGGTACAAAAAGAGGATGTCCTTACACGGATGCAGGTCGGAAGCCTGGAGTAGGTGCCTAGGGTCAAGACCTCAACCGCACATGGTATGTGGAAACTGGGCAGCCTGCACAAGAAAGGAAATAGAAAAGCATCAGTACCTAAAAGCAACTTCTACACAGAAAAAAAAGAAAATACAAAGAAAATTTTTTTTTAAACAATAGGCAGTTTTTTTTTTTTTTTTATATCACTGCTGATACGATCATTTACTTAGTCCGTTCTGAAATTATCCAGTCCAGCCATGCACATACTTCTGTAATTTTAGCACCCTAGAAACATATAAATGATCAGGTGTCGACACTCTGCAAAGGAGAACACTAAACAATCCACATCGCAGGAGTTCTCAAATTCAGTTCCGGTGACTCCAATACAATTTTTGGTCAAGTGCCCAGTGGATGATCTTAAGTGCTTTTGACAGGAAATTGTGCCATGTCATTATCCAGCTTCCTCACCTGGCTTGCACCAGTGTCTCTCTCGCCATCATGGCCAAGATGTCAGCAGTCTCGACAAACAGCAAGTTCTGCTTGTCCAGGAATCCCACAATGGCCTGCAAACATTATTGCCAGCTGTGTTTTAGGCAAGCTAGAACAATGAACATCATACTACAAGCACGGTGTACATTCAAATATCTATTGGCCCTCCTTCTGTACTGTTTTACGTATAAGGCATGAACACCAGAGTAATTTGAAATTTCTAGCTGAAAGAGCAAACAAGAACTACCAACAACCACCAATGACTGGCACAGCAAAACATTGTAGAATAAAGAATGGAAAATTTAAGGCCTGTTCACACATACAGTGGAGAGCTAAGTCAGCGCCACGTTCGTGCTCAAAACAATGCTCACGCAGCGCTTCCTAGCGTGTGACTTAGTTCTAATATAGCTTGCAATTAGCGCTTTAGTAGCGCCTTGTTAGCGCTTCAAGAGTGCCTTATTAACGTTTCAGTAGTGTCTTGTTAGCGCATCTTGTACTGCAGTTACTGCTGAAAATTAGCACGTGCACTGCGGTTCCCATTCCTGTGGTTGGGTGTGCATCAGCAGCCCCATGGCGGACATGTGGGACGCTGAAATAGAAACGCAACAAATGCTCTTACATACGCAATTAGTGCACATGTGTGTGGACGGCTTAACGCCCAAAAGAGCCTTCTGGATGCGCGAAATCTTTTGCCACCGAGATACCGACCAATACCCGGCGAACCTTGTTTCCAGGCTGAGGGACCAAGACATACAGCTCTTTTGAAGGTGATTACTTTTTAACTGCGTGTCTTTGAAACCAGGGGCACGCATGTCAAATAAAAAGCGATGAGGTATTACCCAATCAATTAGTCGCTCAAAGTCTATGACTCTGGATCATCTGCCCAATTGTTTGCTTGGAGAGCAGCTTTTTTACTTCCTCTTCTTTCACCACTAAAGGAAAAACAACAACGGAATCGCCGTGCACGTGCTATTCCGCAGCACCAAGCACGGCATAAGGAGCGTGAGAGCGCTTGCACTGCACTGCTGAAGCGCTATGTCACGTGCAAGTTGGGTCAACATGAGCGCTGCTTCCAGTGCTCACGAGGCACTAACTTAGCGCTCCGCTGTATGTGTGAACTGGCCTTTAGTCTGCCATGATGCACATGAGCATAAGTTCTAGATCCTAAAAGGGTTGCTTCTCAATCAAACAACAGAGCTAGACAATGTTGTCACTAAATTTCTGCAGCCAACCTTATCGTTAAACCACCACTGCCACAAAACTAAAAAAAAAAAAAAGAAGTACTGGTACACTTTTTTTGAACAAATTTACTCATTCAAATAATCCAACGGGCTGGACAACAGCACCCAAACTGAAGTAGCTGGAACTTTGCATTATGTGTCACTCACATATTGTCCTATATCATTGCAAATTGGTGACACAAAAAAAAAAACTTACGGCACATTTCTCCACCTTGGTGGCACTAGCAGCCCACTTGACGAGCGCTAACAGACGTACGAAGAGCTGCCTCGTGCTGCTGGCAAACTGCACAATCTCTATCTTGCGTTCCACATCCGTCTTACGGGGCAACCTGCATGGATAGATGGTATTGGACCTGTATCTGTATTGGATCTGTATTGGGTGGTTACTTGCGCCACCTAGCCTACAACATTAGTCGTGTGCCAGGGCTTGCAGAACATTGGTAGTGGTACGCCGTAGTATCAAGAAACACGAAGCTAATGGAAGCCACACGAGAGATTTACTGATTTCATTCATTATTCTCCCCTAAAGCCCGACAGGCATCTGGAATGAAGCCAGTAGAATTACTCCCTTTTCTGATAGTCCCAATGGGAGGTGCAAATCTAAAGAATCTCTAATGAGCAGTACCAGTACCACCTAGAAGACAAGCTCTGTACATTACGTCATTGTTGCTTGATCCCCACAAGTGGCAAACATGCTGAAACTCGACAAGCGTATGCAAAAAAGTGGTGGGCGCACGCACCTTGGCGTCACCATGGCTAGCATTGCGCTCGTCACGAGAGACGCAAGACGCGCGTGCGGCAACGCAGACACGAGCTAATAGGCGCCGCGTGGCTCCGCTACTAATAATATTCTTGGAACTAAGGTTTTGTGCCCATTGTAGATTATCCTATGCCCTCTCCACCCTCCCCCAACCCCATTCCTACAAAGTATGAAAAGTAAAGAAAAGAGTTCCCTCCCTCGTGAGAATTATGCAGGTCAACCTTTCTAAGGGCCCATAACTTTATGCAGGTAAATAAAAGAGACTGCAGGTGGAGCTAATCCTCTAGTCAAGGCTGAGTTATACAGATCTAATGCATACATGGCTGGCTACTTTGATGCCAGAATGCATCTTCATAAACAAATTTTAAAAAATAATTTTTTTTAACATTATGAATAACTCATACTGCATATTTCCTTGATCTTTCTATATTACCTTCACACAAGGTGTGTCCTATGGGATGAAGGTACCCCGTGACCGAGTTCCGTATGCCCGTTCGCGCTTTTTGATTTACGACATTTGAACGCAGTGTTTCATCTGAAGAGGAACAGAAGAAAGGCACTGGTCGTTACTAAGGGTCTGAAGATTCTACGACCTGAAACTTGAGGCGCAGAAGATGAAATACTCAAAATATATACTCTGACGCATAGAACTCGATCAACAGAACTTAAAGCATAAAAAGAAATGTAGCACAACACCAGACTTACAATTCAGCAAGCACAGTCAGTTCGTGGTACGTCCTTTGCAGAATGAAGTCGATCAGTCTCCCCAGGGGAATGCTTCCAGCCCCTGGGGAAGTGTTGGCGATCTGCATGGCCATCGCCTCCAACGATCTTCAATGCTTCACTGTGAAAGCGAAATCGACTTGGAAAGTTATTGACATTATTTGACAGCGTGAAAACGCTACATTTAAGAGAGGGCGGCATTAGTAGCGTTGTTGGAGCACGTAGATTTTTACCTAGCACGTAAATGATACTCGATCGATTTACTGGGTCTTAGTCGACATAATCTTTCAGATTTGACAGGTCGGTGCGGTTAAAGTGGGCTACTACTTATTGTTATTTTTTTTTAAGTAACACTGATAGCGCGGTTTTAACATGAGCACACATAGAGACGATATCATTGGAAGACGATAGCCTTTCCCTGGAACCGACAAATTGAAACGGGGTTTTCCTGGCAATGATGTTTGGTCAACTCACTTTTGAACTGATTGATATGCATGCAAACAGAGAAAAATCGAACGCAATAGAAAAGTAGACATGGCGAACGCAAACAAGCGAAGTTTCCGTCAGTGGTCTTCCATACAGCCCCTAGATGTGGACTAAAATAGTTGAGGCTCTTAATGTACAAGAAGATTACCAAAACGAATGAACATCAACGATCAGCTTGCGACGTCACAGGTCAGTCTTGGGCTCAGTGCGGACAGAGCAGAAAATATACAGGTTTTCCAGCAACCAAAGATGCTACACATAGTAACGTCACTAAAATGAGACACAGATCATATAGGATGTCTAAGAATAAATAATTAAGGTCGCCTGTAGCGACGGAAAAAAAAGCCCACAACGACCCACTATCAACTCGGAGCTGCCATACTGGCGTACCAACCTACCAACCTAGCCAAACCCAATGTTGCCAAACGAAACGCGAAAGTGAGCAACACTGGTAAAACAAAATTCTTGAAAATACTAAATATTAAAAGAAGAAACTTATACTTGTAGGTTTCATTATTTTAAATTAGTTTATAACTAATTTTTGACTGTTAGAAACGCGGTTGTTTGGTTGATAACGAAACTTGCTGCCTCTCTTGCCCGAAAGAGGACGCCAAAACGCGCGCATAGGTAGGGTGCCTACATGTCTGTCTGTCTCAGGGGTCTCAGGGTGAAGACATCCATTGTTGCCCTGAATGTGCCAGCGCGTGACGCTCTCGCGCACTCGCTGCGTGACTTGGGCGGTAAAATGGCGTCTATGCATTAGCCAAAGCTACGCGCTCGAGCTGAGTGACACCAGATTGCGCGCGCTTCAAAATGCATAAAAAAACGATTGGGCGGTAAAATGGCTGAGATGTCACCACTCAAGCAAAAGCGCGCGTGTGTATGAAGGCACTCTACGCATAGGAAGCGAGCATGCCGGCCGTGTCGCGGCGGTCGCCTATTGTTCGCCGCACTGGTTCTAGACCTGTGCGCCGGTCAAAAATCGCCGGCGGCGGCGCGCCGGTGTTTGTACCTCCGGCGGCGACGTGTTGACGGCGCGGGAATCAACGGATCGGCGGCGGCGTGGCGCGGAAGAGGGGGGGAGGGGGGGTGTAAATTAGAGGGTGAGGGGGAGAGAGAAAGGAGTCGAAAACAACATACAAATACCATAAAAAGGAACACACTTTTTTATTTTATTTTTTTCTGGAGAGGTAAACATAGCCTTCGCTGGTGAAGAGTGCGTCCGTTAGAAGAATCAGGCACTTCGGCGTCTTGTTTATTCTCGTTTGTGAGAATATGTCGCCGGCTGGCAGCCGCGCCGCAAAATCCTCCGCAAGACGAGGACCGACGGCAACAGGTATTTTATCACCGCGTTCCGCCTCACCACGCGCTTGTCGCACGCCCCGTGCCTAACAAGTCGACCGAGCACGTCCTTCGATTTATAGAACTCGTACTCATTCGGTACGCCGCAAGCCGTCATCACCGACAACGACAGGGTCCCAACCTCTCGTTCGGCTTCGCGGTACTTCGCCGACAGGCATTCAGAGCGTCCCTAACAGTACCTTAGGCTCCCGAAGCTAACGGCTTTGTCGAACGCGCCAACGGAAAAATCCTTCCATGTCTGCGCGAAAGAACGTCAACGGCGACATCGACCATTGGAGCGATTATCTCGAGGCAACCAGCTTTTGAGTGAACCAGCAGCCGTACGCCAGACTCCAGAGATCACTGCTCGAACTCCTGTTCAACTTTGTCCCACGTCGACCAATGGAATTTTCCCCGCTTCCCGACGAGGTCGGCGACGTCCGCGCGAACTGCGACGCTGCAAACGCGAACCTCTCTTACCTCCACGGCATGAAGCGTTCCTACGATGCAAAACATAGACCAGCTCCATACAGCGTCAGGGACAGGGTATGGTACACGAACGGCCTTCCTACCTCGAAACTTGGCCACTTGGCCTGCTTTTCCACGGACACTTAAGTCATCACCAACGTGAACAATCAAACCTAGACCATTTCCAGGTTTACCCCGCAAGGCACACCGGATTGCCGCAGAGCTGCCGCACGATAGCTCTTTTTTTTTTTTTTTTTTTTTTTTCACGACCAATCTGCAGCGATTGACGTCGATTTCAACCAACTCGCCTTGCACCGCAGCAGATCCTCCGATTACAAGCGCATCACGCCGACGCCGCCCTCCACGATGGCTAGACGCATAACAGAGGATCATGACAACATTAACAAAATGTGCGAGGGCGCAAGGATTTTGAGCTCGGGAGTGTAAGCAAATACGCTGGCGGCAAAGACCCGTAAGGAGAGCCTCCCCGACTCGACCGGATGGGAGCTCGACTTCGACCCCCGATGCTGGATCCCGGCGTGGAAACGAGAAAGAAGGACCCCTAGAAACACGATGTGACACGAACAAGCCAGGCGTGTGGATCAAAATAAAATACGTTTGAAAGAAGCCTGAAAACGGACGCGAATATAGCCCTCTTGTATCAAATTATTTCACAAAGTTTTCATTAAATCGTTTTGCGGTCTACCAAACCGTTCAGTCCGTTATAACACTTTAAAAACACTGGCGAGCTGACTTCCATAGTAACGGGAGACACGAAACGATAAAAATAACGCACAAGACAACAAGCCTCAAACACAGCTTTTATACCCGTTTTCACGTCAAGAACTCTGGTAAAAAGAGTCCGACTCCTTGCGAACTAATTTCCACCTTTATGTGGAGAACTAAGATATATGTAGCTGGATTCTACTATATATGTTATCAAGACGTACACGTCCCAGCGCCAAAATCATCGCTTTTTTCTTCGACAACCAAATCTCGTAAGACTTTGCGTCGCGTATACGAACATCTTTGTTTCATGTATGTGCTCTCCCCCTCTGTAATGCCTTCGGGCCCTGAGGGTAGTTTAATAAATAAGTAAATGCTCGAAACTTTCTCTTTTTCTTGAAAAAACGGGTATAGTTTATTTGAACAAGGAACGCTCTTATATATATACGTCGAGACCCTCATCACCAAAAAAGAACTCTTTAAAAAAAATGGTATCACCATACACCCTTTTGTCCCATATAACGCACCCAAAAACTTTAGTTTGACGCACAGCGCACAGACGGCCATACATTTTACAAGGGGCTTGATAACGGAGCGACATAACTGATTAAATAGCTAAAGTACGTATCAAAGACCACAGAAGGAAAGCACTGAGGTTTTGCAGTAGGGCCAAGAAAACCTCGATTATCTTTTTGTAGTCAGTAACACGTACATTAGCTATGTTAATAAGTTGTACCGCACGGCTATCAAGCCTCTCGTGAAAGGTAGTACCGACAGATCGAGGTCTGAAGTTTTCGGGTGTCTTATAGGGGACTAAAGGTGTAAGAATACACCCTTTTTTTTTAGAGTGTAGGTCACTGAAAGCCGGACACTCAGACAGATCCAAATGATTCATGGTCACACCAACCTGCCACCCAGGCGACCCCGCTTGATGAGTGACCAGCCACATGCGATAACAGGCAACTCCATCAGAACCCCTGATACACGCGTGACGAGATGTCCCTAGACTCCCTACAGCGTTCAATTCGCTTAACGAGCGTCGATGAAGCGATCGTGTCGACAAAACGTGTGTCCGTGAAACGTGTGCCCATGAAAAGTTGTCTGCGATACTTAATTCCACGAAACGAGTTTCGACGAAATGAGAGGATCCCGTACACCACTCCTGCCTGAAAAGTTACATTTGGGTTCTTATGTTTTTTTCTGGCGCCCCTGAAGACCACCAGAAAGGGGGTTGACCTTTCTAATTTGTGCTGAGCTTTGAAAACTAAATTTACACCGAACCTATTTGCCACTGATATAAAGTTATGAGAGGTTCCATGGTAGTAAGGCACACACACACCATTCTTCACAACCGGTTTTTCCACAGGAGCCGGATTAAACCTTCAGCACCTTGAGCACAACTCTAACATTTACATCGTGGTGATGGTCCACTTCCAGACGACGCATCTTTTGAAACTCAACTGCCTCACCCAACACATACGGGATTCTTTACAGGCGTTATCCATCGCAGACGCACACCACTCTTAACTATTTTCAAGTGACAGCTGTCAGCTGCCAGCAGAGGTTTGGCTGATTCCTTGCCGTACCTCCAGCACAGGCCCTTTTCCGTGTGCAACAGCAGGTCTATAAGTACTTAATTCGACTGTTGCGATGGCAGGGTTGTGCAGTCCAATCGACAAGGACCGCACAACCGTGCCAACGTGTAAATAAGTCTTGTTAAAAAAAAAAAAAGAAAAAAAAAAAAAAACCTTGGACAACACTGGAGCAATTCACGACCCGATACACACACCCTGTTTTTAAATAAAAAGAGAACCATCAAAGGCTACGGCAGTGGACTCTAAATGAAACTCCAGAATGCTGATAAAACTATCTACATCAATCCCAGTGGCAGACTGCAACTTCACTAGATTATCATCACCTCCTGACCCTTATTAACAGCTTCGACTTGTCCATAAAGTTACATAAGTCCTTGATGTCTACAGTTGTCACATCGCACCTTCTCCCATGATGCGGATTCAATATTTCAATCAATTGCTCAGAGTTTTTGAGTGACAATGGACTGTTGCTCCACTCCTGTCAGGCATTTCTAGATAAAAACCGACAATACCTTCTGCCAAGCTCAATTTTCGTTCACAACCATTTTAACAATTACAGCAGGATGAGATCGTTACAGTTGTGCTCAAGGTGCAAGGAACGTACGTTCAATCCGGCTCCTGTGGAAAAAACCGGTTGTAAAGAATGTTGTGTGTGTGCCTTACTACCTTGGAATCTCTCATAACTTTATATCAGTGGCAAAGAGGTTCGGTGTAAATTTAGTTTTCAAAGCTCAGCACAAATTAGAAAGGTTAACCTCGTTTTCGGGTGGTCCTCAGGGGTGCCAGAAAAAAACACGTACACAACACGTGCCGGAACTATTGATGGCGTCCGCCTCAATTATCTCTCCAACAGTCTTATCTTTGTGCCTAGCGAGAACAGTGGAAGAAGCAAATAATGGTTTGCACCTGCAGTCATGCGTGGTTTCAATCGATTTTGCAGAAAAAGAGATAGTGTATTTGCGGTCCGCGGCGGGGCCACGGATTGGTTGAGATGTGGTGCGGTGACGCAGTGTGTATCTACGCTGAGGCTGTTGGATTAAATCAGTTGGAAGTAAGCGCTCTGTGGTGTTCTTCCTCTGTCTATGTCTTAAAGCGCAATCATGTTTTCTCACGCACAATACCAACTCGCCCAACAATCAGCAAAGGTAGGAGAGTCCTGAGGGAGACCATGCGTATTTTGACCTCTGGTAATTGAGTAAGCACACCGTCCTTGGCATTGGACAGTGACATGAAGCGTTTTTTTGTGTCTG